CCTGACAGAATAGTGCCCTGTAGGTGTGTTCCCACTAGTCCTTGATATTATAGTACCCTATAGGGGGTCCCCACTAGTCCCTGACAGAATAGTGCCCTGTAGGTGTGTCTCCACTAGTCCCTGACAGTATAGTACCCTATAGGTGTGTCCCCGCTAGTCCCTGACAAAATAGTGCCATGTAGGTGTGTCCCCACTAGTCCCTGACAGAAAAGTTATCTGTAGGTGTGTCCCACTAGTCCCTGACAGAATAGTGCCCTGTAGGTGTGTCCCCACTAGTCCCTGACAGAAATAGTACCATATAGGTGTGTCCCCACTAGTCCAAGACAGAATAGTGCCCTATAGGTGTGTCCCCACTAGTCCCTGACAGAATAGTACCCTATAGGTGTGTCCCCACTATCCCCGACAGAATAGTTCCTGCAGGTGTGTCCCTACTAGTTCCTGACAGAAAAGTTCTCTGCAGGTGTGTCCCCACTGGTCCCTGACAGAAAAGATCCCTATAGGTGTGTCCCCACTAGTCCCTGACAGAATAGTGCCCTGTAGGTGTGTCCCCACTAGTCCCTGACATAATAGTGCCCTAAAGGTGTGTCCCCACTAGTCCATGACAGAATAGTGCACTGCAGGTGTGTCCCCACTAGTCCCTGACATAATAGTGCCCTAAATGTGTGTCCCCACTAGTCCCTGACAGAAAAGTGCCCTATAGGTGTGTCCCCACTAGTCCAAGACAGAATAGTGCCCTATAGGTGTGTCCCCACTATCCCCGACAGAACAGTTCCCTGCAGGTGTGTACCCACTAGTCCCTGACAGAAAAGTTCTCTGCAGGTGTGTACCCACTGGTCCCTGACAGAAAAGATCCCTCCCTTACAGAATAGTGCCCTGTAGGTGTGTCCCAACTAGTCCCTGACAGTATAGTACCCTATAGGTGTGTCCCCACTAGTCCATGACAGAATAGTGCACTGCAGGTGTGTCCCCACTAGTCCCTGACATAATAGTGCCCTAAATGTGTGTCCCCACTAGTCCCTGACAGAAAAGTTTCTGTAGGGGTGTCCCCACTAGTCCCTGACAGAAAAGTTTCTGTAGGGGTGTCCCCACTAGTCCCTGACAGAAAAGTTTCTGTAGGGGTGTCCCCACTAGTCCCTGACAGAAAAGTGCCCTATAGGTGTGTCCCCACTAGTTCCTGACAGAAAAGTTATCTGTAGGTGTGTCCCCACTAGTCCCTGACATAATAGTGCCCTAAATGTGTGTCCCCACTAGTCCCTGACAGAATAGTTCCCTGTAGGTGTCCCCACTAGTCCCTGACAGAATAGTGCCCTAAAGGTGTGTTCCCACTTGTCCCTGACAGAATAGTACCCTATATGTGTGTTCCCACTAGTCCTTGATATTATAGTACCCTATAGGGGGTCCCCACTAGTCCCTGACAGAATAGTGCCCTATAGGTGTGTCCCCACTATCCCTGACAGAATAGTGCCCTATAGGTGTGTCTCCACTAATCCCTGACAGAATAGTTCCCTATAGGTGTGTCTCCACTAATCCCTGACAGAATAGTGCCCTATAGGTGTGTCCCCACTAGTCCCTGACAGAATACTGCCCTATAGGTGTGTCCCCACTAGTCCCTGACAGAATAGTGCCCTATAGGTGTGTCCCCACTAGTCCAAGACAGAATAGTTCCCTGTCGTCTGGTCGACAATATGGAGTGTGTCGTGATAGGATCGCATATGGCCGTACATTTGATAAAAACTAAAACCAACAAATGATTGACGTAAAATATCCATTTAAAAACCAAACGAGTCACAGCATATAAAATCAATCGCTTAGATCAAACTATATCAGGAATCACTATTACAATGCATGCTACTGTTGACGTGTAACGATGCGTGGAGACTTGATGATATAGTTGTATGAACGCTAGACTCGACACCAGTATACACTAAAAGTATACAAATAACATAAAGAGTGCACACCCCTGATATAACCTACGTGTCAGTTATTAAACGGACAACAACATCAGATTAGCAGGTTCATTTATTGTTCTTGCCATATAATGCATTCTTGAGCTTAAAGGTATACTGTTCAAATTAATTTAGAAGATTTTGTATACAGTAGAGTTTTTATTTAATTGACTTTTGGATATAAATCATGTTCATGAGCAAATAACTGTTCCCGGGTGTCTAAAATACTCATTTCCTATATTCATTATTTTAACACCACAACTTAAATCACGTAGTTTATACACAGACTCCCAGTTGGTACGTATTACGAGATTGGACGATAAGCAGTGCGTTTTCATTGGTCCATTTGACGAATCCTGTCATTGCTAGCTATTCGGGTAAAGCTACACGGGTAGACCGCAGGGTCAATATTTCTGTAAGCCTCGACACAACACATGACTTGAGGGCGAATAACAATCGCTTTGCCAAAATATACCTGATCGCGTGTGTACCAAGAAGAAATCAAAATACCACTTTGTAAAAGAAGACAAGCAAATATTTTGATACGAAGAATAACTTTTGGAATATATATCAGAATCTGGAAACACTTGAATGACTTAACACGCAGGTAGCGACGAAATATCGATACAACCTTACGACTAGTGCCAAATGCGACCGTTCCTTTATTGTGGTTTAATTTCTACCAAACAGCAACAATTTTTAGTCAAAACCTTCGACTGAAAAGTGTAGACCCATTTCTCATCTTGTTCACATCTGAAATCGGATTTTTATAAACTTTCATACAAACGCCTGAACTTATGTATGTTGTGCAGGACAGTTGTATATGATGTGGTACTCCTAAAACGTCAGTGTTCAATTTTCAACAAACATGTCTGAGGACCAGGGTAGGGAGATATTTGCCTACGTCCGCGAGAGAGACGACGCCAGGGCCAAACTAAAGAAGGTCGAGGACGAGCTCCAGGAGTACCAGTCCAAACTGTATGACGCCAATAGCAAGATCGAGAGTCTGAAGAAGTCACTGGCTCACGCTCAGGTATCTACTTCATCCTATCTCTTACGAGGACCAAGCTGTGTAACTTCCGTCCATGTATTTCCTATCTCCTGCAGGTTAACCCTTTATACTATTTTCCATATATTTTGTCATGTGGTTTGTTTGCGCCACTTGTTCTCTCGCTTTTCAAAAAAATAACTCATTCCTTTTCAGTTGTGCTTTCACAAAGTTTTCTGTTTTGAACATTTAGACAATGCAAACAATGAAAAGATGTGTGATTACCATTATTGAGTAACAGATATGGTCACAAAGCACTGATGGGGTTGTTGGTCAGCACATTGTTGGCATGCTGATTGCTGTTGCTGATTGTAAGGTTTCGATAGACAGGACAGTACTAGCTAGTCCTTATATGTAGTACATACAGTCTTACAAGCCTTTCGCTGCAGTTTGAAGTAAAACAAAGAGGATGTATATGCAGTACAAGGCGTGTCAGAATCAGTATACGGCAATGGATGTCGTGTGTGTTCATTGAAGTCTCTGAAAAACTGCCTCAGCTTGGGAAAATCAATTACCATGTTACTGCCATGATAATGAAAGAGTTATAAATTATAAAGATTTGTTCTCTATTTCGAACGTTCTACACGTACGTTCGGACATGGTTTAAATCTAACACCTGATCTGATGATCAAACAAAAACGTGTTTATCTGGCAGATTGGGCAGCTCGGTACAACGTCAACAATTATGTTTTATAGAAACTATCGATATACATGCTTGAATATATGTTATATCGCTGTTCACTTGAACAGATTAACAAAATGTGTAAGCTTTCTTTAAAGGTTTGTGTATTGCACACAATGTCAGTAAAGTCATGTTGAAGTAAGTAACATGAGATATACAAAGTCGTGTTAAGGTAACGTAGAGCTATACAGTCTAGTTAAGGTAACATAACATACGCGCTGCAAAGTCGTGTTAAGGTAAAAATAAGCGCCATAGAGTCGTTTAAGGTAAAACAAGATATGTTAAGTGTTTATTTAGGTAATATAAGATTTCTGAAGTCTTGTTTAGGTAACATAAGATCTATAAAGTCTTGTTTAGGTCACGTATAGATACAAAGTCTTGTTTAGGTAGCATAAGAACTATATATTCTTGTTTAGGTAGCATAAGATCTACAAAGTCTTGTTTAGGTAACATAAGATCTATAAAGTCTTGTTTAGGTCACGTATAGATACAAAGTCTTGTTTAGGTAACAAAAGAGCTACAAAGTCTTGTTTAGGTAACAAAAGAGCTACAAAGTCTTGTTAAGGTAGCATAAGAGCTACAAATCTTGTTTAGGTAACATAAGAGCTACACAGTATTGTTTAGGTAACAAAAGAGCTACAAAGTCTTGTTTAGGTAACATAAGAGCTACACAGTATTGTTTAGGGAACAAAATAGCTATATAGTCTTGTTTAGGTAAGAAAAGAAATATATAGTCTTGTTTTGGTAGCAAAAGAGCTACAAAGTCTTGTTTAGGTAACAAAAGAGCTACACAGTATTGTTAAGGTAGCATAAGAGCTACAAAGTCTTGTTTAGGTAGCATAAGAGCTACAAAGTCTTGTTTAGGTAACATAAGAGCTACAAAGTCTTGTTTAGGAAGCATAAGAGCTACAAAGTCTTGTTTAGGTATCATAAGAGCTACAAAGTCTTGTTTAGGTATCATAAGAGCTACAAAGTCTTGTTTAGGTAGCAAAAGAGCTACACAGTATTGTTTAGGTAACAAAAGAGCTACAAAGTAATGTTTAGGTAACAAAAGAGCTACAAAGTAATGTTTAGGTAACAAAAGAGCTACAAAGTAATGTTTAGGTAACAAAAGAGCTACAAAGTAATGTTTAGGTAACAAAAGAGCTACAAAGTAATGTTTAGGTAACAAAAGAGCTACAAAGTAATGTTTAGGTAACAAAAGAGCTATATAGTCTTGTCTAGGTAACAAAAGAGCTATATAGTCTTGTCTAGGTAACAAAAGAGCTATATAGTCTTGTTTAGCTAACAAAAGAGCTATATAGTCTTGTTTAGCTAACAAAAGAGCTATATAGTCTTGTTTAGGTAACAAAAGAAATATATAGTCTTGTTTTTGGAGCAAAAGAGCTACAAAGTCTTGTTTATGTAACAAAAGAGCTACACAGTATTGTTTAGGTAACAAAAGAGCTACACAGTTTTGTTTAGGTAACAAAAGAGCTACAAAGTCTTGTTTAGGTAACAAAAGAGCTACACAGTCTTGTTAAGGTAGCATAAGAGCTACAAAGTCTTGTTTAGGTAACATAAGAGCTACAAAGTCTTGTTTAGGTAACAAAAGAGCTATGTAGTCTTGTTTAGGTAGCATAAGATCTACAAAGTCTTGTTTAGGTAACATAAGATCTACAAAGTCTTGTTTAGGTAACAAAAGATTTATAAAGTCTTGTTTAGGTAACACAAGACCTACAAAGTCTTGTTTAGGTAACATAATATCTACAAAGTCTTGTTTAGGTAACATAAGAGCTACACAGCCGTGTTAAAGTACAACAATATATGTTAAGTCTTGTTTAATGATTACTGATTCACGCAGTATTAGAACTATGTGGGCCTATCTCTCCAGTCTTAGCTATGAGGTCATTTTTATTGTTTTTAATCTTGTTTAAATATCTACCTTACATTTAAATTAAATCAACCCACCTGTTAAGTAAATGCAGAGCAGGTGACCTGATTGGCAGGATGACCATTCTGGACGACTGTCAATTACTACTATTGCTGTTACGTGTACTTATAATATAACTCGACGAGCCACTATATGGAATGCACAATGCGTGTGATATATATGTTATATCATTTAGACAAACCACCATAGACTTAGGATTAAAACTTCCTTGTGTAGTAACTTCATGTGTAGACCTTTCCCCCGGTATTGAAACCAAATATTTCTCCCCTTGGTTTTAACTATAAACCATTGGCACGTGGTCCCATACGACTTTATTTAACATGACCAATGTAACGATTGAGATGTCTCATACATAATGAACATCAATCATTGCGAAACACTCACTAAAGTTATCTCTTTGAAATTGTCGCTTAAAACAACGTGGAACTGAATGAACAAACCGATGAAACCAACTTAAATATATAATAAGGTATAGCTCTAACACCATAGCTCACAAGTACCAGTGATTGGAACACATAGAACAACTAGGTGGTCTTCAGCACCTTTCAATATTGATCATTGCCTTATTTACCCGATTGTGATTTTATCAGCGGATCTAATCACTAAATCCTATTCTATACAGCTGTACTGTATTCTATGATAATGACCGTGTGTTACCAACTATTGAACCCCGGTAACATTAATATAGCGTATAACTCAATACCCACCACTGTGTCGCCATGAGGAGGACAAATATTACAGTGGATCCGTCAATATGGCCGACTATTGTCCCTCGGCCACTGTCCGTGTGCGCGTGTGTACAGATACATTAGGGTCCGTATCAGCTGGCATTGTACGATGTGCGAACCTTTGAAGGAACCGCCGACCTGTTGTCAATACAGTAATGAAGATCACCAGTTAGGTACCGTGAGACAAAGACTCATTGTTTGTTCCTGTGTAAGGTCGGAACCTTACTCCGGTCTTACATATTCTGGTACAGACATGAACACTCGTCTATTACTATACAACACGGAACAGATTCAGGGCTAAGTCCAGACAAGGGCAACTAGACCCGAACTAACGTATTCTCGATTGCACCACAGTCATTAAACACATAAAAGGGCGTTTTGCACGCAACTGTTTCTTGTGGTAGAATGGACGTGGCACAGAGCTTTGCCTTTTTTGTATATTACTGTCTATCAATGTAAGGTATAGTCATCTTTCCAAAACAACTTAAGAAAACCCTTTAATTTCCAGCTTTATCTGGTATAATTTAAGATTTCCAAATAAACTATCAAAACTCCTCACATTTAAAACAGTAAGAGAGATATTAAAGCGTCAACACACTTCAAATTGGCAACACAAAATTCAATAAGAAAAATCTACAAGGTAAAAAATTACCATGATTTCCCACAAAAACCAGAAATAAACATAATCGTTTCCTACATCACATAACACTCGTCTTGGTACCTCCTATTAGTTATTTAGATCACCAACGTACAAAGATTCGGTGCTTAGGTGTATAATCACGTAAAAAGTGATAGAAATTCCGAACAAAGTTATTTACGGTCTACTGTAAATCACGTCTTTGAGGTTAAGCGTATCAGCCATTTTATATTTTACCAGCAAACTTATACATAAATGTTAAAAAGGAAATAGGAACGTGACTTATACTACTAACAGGTTGAAAAAAAGAAAATTAAAATGTTTAGATTGATTAGCAGTAAGTACATGTTTTATATCTGGGATAAGAAGGATAATGAAATGTCAAAAACGAATTTGTTGTACTTGAACCTCTTGGAAAAGATTATCTAGCAACCCCCATAAAAAGTATGTAGTCATACTAGCTGATAAGTCTTCTAACATGATTACTTTGATCTAATTACTACCAGGTATTGTGCCTACTTATCAAGGGAGGTTGCTTTGTTGGTAATCATACTTACGGTCTATTGTAGGATCATGTACGCGTTCAGCAGAACAGATACGCTCTCCTTTCTGTTGCAATACTAACCACAGTTTAAGATTTCAGTTAAATTGTGCTAATTATTACAAGAATTCCACGGAAGTGGATGTGTCGCCTGCGCAGGAAGCTGGGAGATTAAGAAGAAATAGATACACTTTTCATTTCAAGAAATAATGTTAAAAGTAAGCAATAATCATAGATTATGTTTTTGGATGGCATCATTTTGTTATATAATCTGTTATTCTGGGAGTTTTAAGGAACCTTCCAATATGGTGTCCACAAGCAAGACCAGCATCGCCTCATTGGTATCCATAAAAAAATTCTTGAAAATGCAAGTATGCTTGGCACTGCATGAAGTTTGAGTTTGATCGGCCCAAGGAAACTCAAGGTATCGCAAGAAAACAGATTTTCTATTTATATTAACAGTGACCTTTGACCTTCGGACCTGAAAAGCAATCCCAAGCAAGCACTTTTGGTAAGGAAGCACTGCATTAAATTTGAGTTTGATCGGCCCAAGGAAACACAAGTTATCGCACGAAAACATATTTTCTATTTATAGTAACAGTGACCTTGACCTTTGACCATTGGACCTGAAAAGCACTGCATGAAGTTTGAGTTTGATCGGCCCAAGGAAACTCAAGTTATCGCACGAAAACCTCTGTTCGGACGACACCGCCGACGCCGACATAGCAATACCTATGCGTCACCAGCTTTTCGCAGGCGACAAAACAAAACTACGTTAATATAAAACGTCACTTTGTTTGCTAAAAATATAGAATGCAGCACTGTTTGCAAAATCAATAGTTGGATAAACACATAAGTTTGGTGTTCAGGATATTTTCACAGACTATTCGAAGGTATTCGAATAGGAACTAATGTGCACCACTTTTAGTCGTTCAGTTCTTGTTTTCTTATTATGGTATTTTACAAGACATCTGCCCGATTTTGTTTACTCATTTAGATGTAATTTGTAAATTGATAGAGTTTTGTATTATGATGACGTTTTCTCCATACATCACCAGAAACAGAAACATTTAACATTTATCATTTGTCACAGAATCACACTTTTCAGCTTCATATCTTTCACTGCAGTCAGACAATAGTAGTCACCTCACTTATAAACCCCTTGGCAATATTGACGACTATAATTTGTCTGTAATAACTTAACCCTCTGATAAAATGCCTTAATTTAAACTGAAAATATCAAACGATCGTTACTATAATTTTTATCTCTGACAATTCAGTGTCTGCCTTAATTACATGTATTTAAACCGTTACATCGCCGGTGGCCGAAAAACTATCATGGGTTTACAGGCATAATAAAACAAGTGTCACATGTGACGTAGGTCAGTAAGTCACGGAGTCGCCTCGCTGTGGGTTCATGTTATCTTTTTCTGCTGCCTTTTATTTCCAATTGTGACTTACATCTGTACCACCATCTATAATACTATTTTGTTATAAATGTCTAAACTACATTCAAATTAACATAAACGAGTTTAACAGACGTTCACATGAACATTTACTGGTTTAACAGACGTTCACATGAACATTTACTGGTTTAACTGACGTTCACATGAACACTTACTGGTTTAACTGACGTTCACATGAACATTAACTGGTTTAACAGACGTTCACATGAACATTTACTGGTTTAACAGACGTTCACATGAACATAAACAGGTCTAACACATTTCTTTGTTACAGAAAGCTACCGCGGCCGGTCAGAAAGGAGCTCCGGCGAAGGCTGCTCCAGCTGGCGCTGCCAAGGGTAAGGGACCAGCAGCTAAGGGCGGAGGGGACAAGGCGAAGGCTAAGGCGTCATCCACATCTACTCCTAATGACACACCAGCCCCAACCCCTCCTCCAGCACGCCAACCTACAACAGTACGTCACCCACCGATTCTGGGCAAGGAGCAGCTGTCAGAAGATACCTATGAATATTACAACGTGAGTTAGTTAGTGTGAATTCATATTGATATTACACATGCACCTGTGAAGTAGCATGTAAAAAATGCAGTAATATATACAAAATTCCATAGCAGGAATACTGTCTGAGCATGGGTGAAACTAGCTACAATCTAAGGGTGGGTGGCCCTAGCTACAATCTAAGGATGGGTGGTACTAGCTATAGCCTGAGGATGGGTGGTACTAGCTACAGTCTGAGAATGGGTGGTACTAGCTATAGCCTGAGGATGGGTGGTACTAGCTACAGTCTGAGAATGGGTGGTACTAGCTATAGCCTGAGGATGGGTGGTACTAGCTACAATCTAAGGATGGGTGGCACTAGCTACAGTCTGAGAATGGGTGGCATTAGCTGAAATCTGAGCATGGGTGGCACTAGCTGTAGTCTGAGAATGGGTGGCACTAGCTAAAATCTGAGCATGGGTGGCACTAGCTAAAATCTGAGAATGGGTGGCACTAGCTATAGTCTGAGGATGGGTGGCACTAGCTACAATCTAAGGATGGGTGGTACTAGCTATAGCCTGAGGATGGGTGGCACTAGCTACAATCTAAGGATGGGTGGTACTAGCTACATTCTGATAATGGGTGGCACTAGCTGTAGTCTGAGAATGGGTGGCACTAGCTACAGTCTGAGGATGGGTGGCACTAGCTGTAGTCTGAGGATGGGTGGCACTAGCTACAATCTAAGGATGGGTGGCACTAGCTATAGTCTGAGGATGGGTGGCACTAGCTACAATCTAAGGATGGGTGGTACTAGCTATAGCCTGAGGATGGGTGGCACTAGCTACAATCTAAGGATGGGTGGTACTAGCTACAGTCTGAGAATGGGTGGCACTAGCTGTAGTCTGAGAATGGGTGGCACTAGCTGTAGTCTGAGAATGGGTGGCACTAGCTACAGTCTGAGGATGGGTGGCACTAGCTATAGTCTGAGGATGGGTGGCACTAGCTACAATCTAAGGATGGGTGGTACTAGCTATAGTCTGAGGATGGGTGGCACTAGCTACAATCTAAGGATGGGTGGTACTAGCTATAGTCTGAGGATGGGTGGCACTAGCTACAATCTAAGGATGGGTGGTACTAGCTATAGCCTGAGGATGGGTGGCACTAGCTACAATCTAAGGATGGGTGGTACTAGCTACAGTCTGAGAATGGGTGGCACTAGCTGTAGTCTGAGAATGGGTGGCACTAGCTGTAGTCTGAGAATGGGTGGCACTAGCTACAGTCTGAGGATGGGTGGCACTAGCTGTAGTCTGAGGATGGGTGGCACTAGCTACAATCTAAGGATGGGTGGTACTAGCTACAGTCTGAGAATGGGGGGCACTAGCTACAGTCTGAGGACGGGGGGAACTAGATATAGTCTGAGGACGGGTGGCACTAGCTACAGGCTGAGGACGGGTGGCACTAGCTACAGGCTGAGGACGGGTGGCACTAGCTACAGGCTGAGGACGGGTGGCACTAGCTACAGGCTGAGGACGGGTGGCACTAGCTACAGGCTGAGGACGGGTGGCACTAGCTACAGGCTGAGGACGGGTGGCACTAGCTACAGGCTGAGGACGGGTGGCACTAGCTGTAGTCTGAGAATGGGGGGCACTAGCTGTAGTCTGAGAATGGGTGGCACTAGCTACAGTCTGAGGATGGGTGGCACTAGCTACATTCTGAGAATGGGTGGCACTAGCTGTAGTCTGAGGATGGGTGGCACTAGCTACAGTCTGAGGACGGGTGGCACTAGCTACAGTCTGAGGACGGGTGGCACTAGATATAGTCTGAGGACGGGTGGCACTAGCTGTAGTCTGAGGACGGGTGGCACTAGGTACAATATTTTCTAATGATTGATGGCACTAGCTAAAATATAACAGGATAATGGTGGTCTTGCTACAATATTGTCTACGGACGGGGGTTGCATTTGCTAAAACACAACCTGTGAATGGATGTTCCTAGCTACAATATTGCCTCAGGATGGATGGCACAATAACCTAAGGATGGGTTGTCTTGCTGCAATATTGTCAGAGGACGCGTGTTCCTTGCTACATTATTGTCTGAGGTTGCGTGCTGCTAGCTGCTTTATTGTCTGAGAATGCGTGTTGTTAGCTACATTTTTGTCTGAGGATGTGTGTTCCTAGCTAAAGTATTATCCGATAGGTAGTCCAATACTCTTTTTTCCCCATATAATTCGCTGTCCGAATCATACCTTTTCATCAATCGTCAGTAAGTATTTCTAATTTTGAGCAAACTCCCCGCTACAAAGCAACCATACCTATTTCTCAATTACTGTTCAAATGGTAAATATATATTCAAATGTATAACATTTCCTGGTATGTACGAATACAACCTGGTAACTGTAAACGATACTCCTCTAAGAACTGTATTCAATTCAATAGTCTATATTCTATATATACTATTGAGCTTTGAAATGTATTGAAGTGTATCAATACGTGATATCAGATTTGTTATTATAACGCATTATCGCTCGTGTTTCAGACAGTGGTGTTTATAATACTGATCTTTACTTAACATACATGTATATAAAGGCAAACGTTTACAGATTTTTCAAGCGCATTTTCTTCATAGTTTCAATGTTATCCATGCTTCATTAGTGTATTTTGAAAGATAATGTATAGCGACTTTTAGTTGCAATATAATCCTGTGCTTTAATTACTGCCCCATCCATTAAGGTACTGTCCCTATCAAATCACCTTTCCCATGGTAACATTGTGGCCATGTGGTTAAAAACACCTTTTTGGTCAAATCACTGTTCCTATAGTTAAATTACTGTCCCTGTGGTTATAAGTTAAATCACGACTGATGATTCTCACTAGATATGCCCGATCAATTATGTCAACGCAATGATATGAATGCATTATAAATCTTTAAATTATCAAATAAAAGCCAGCAATACGCATTCTTTAGGTATCTAATACTAACAAACCGAACACTCATGCACTGCCTGGTGTATAATGACACTACCCAATGCTGGTATGTCTGACAGTTCCTTGCAGGTGATATAATTACCTATCCCACCTGGGAAAAGGTCAGGGGCTTTAATCGTACCTGAGTGCAGTAATTGTTGAGGAACTCGAATGTGTAGTATAGGTCCTTTTTTTGCTCGAGTGCAGTGCGATTATCCTGAAAATATAACAACGAAAGAATTTTTTTTATACCAATTCTGTAAATGCTTGGGAAGACGATACTAGATTTTAAGGGATCCGGGTGAAAGGTTAAGCAATTTGCGAAACCAAAGAACGCTTCAGGACTGAGATACAATCTGACGCCATTAAAAACCAGCAAATGGATTACTAACTACAAACCGTTACAGGAATACAGAGCTAGTTAACACAGAGGCAAAATATTGTCAAACAATAATTAACATCAAAGGTAAATTAATACACAATACATTTATTCAAAGTTTAAATAAGACAGAATTAATTTAACCAGAGGTAAAATAAATCAGGACTGATCACATCAAAGGAGAATTAATACAAAATTTGATTAAAGGTAAATACTCAGGTTGTCTGTTTCAGGCGATAGGCGACTTATTTCCAGCTTTACCATTGGCCATTGTTCTTACTGCAGAGAAGAAGTTCAATCTAGCAGACGTAAACGGAGATGGGGTGAGTCTTACATGACATGACATGACATGACACGTGACATGTCTGGTATTTATTTTAATATTTTCTACTTGTTGAAGCTCGTTTATATACATTAAAGGCATCTTGTCTTTTTGTTCACGGACAGTACGGACGGGGAAACAAGTAAATATGCTACAACAATAAAATGAATGTAATAATACATATATTTAACAATAAGTATAATAAAGGCTGAAAGCATAACATATGATGGTGGTGTTTTTGCAGGTCGTAGACAAGGAGGAGATAGACAGTGTGTTGTCCACGTCAGATGTGGCGATGTTTACACCTAAACAGATTGAGGAAATCATCAAGGAAATCGACAAAGACGAAACGGGCGATCTTGACTTCTGCGAGGTTCTCACGGTAGGTCTCGCTGTAAGAGAAAGGGGACCTTTATTCCTTTGTGGTCCTCACAATAGGTCTCGCTGTAAGAGAAGGGGGACCTTTATTCCTTTGTGGTCCTCAGGGTAGGTCTAACTGTAAGAGATGGGGGACCTTTATTTCTTTGTTGTCCTCACAATAGGTCTCGCTGTAAGAGAAAGGGGACCTTTATTCCTTCGTGGTCCTCAGGGTAGGTCTCACTGTAAGAGATGGGGGACCTTTATTCCTTCGTGGTCCTCAGGGTAGGTCTCACTGTAAGAGATGGGGGCCCTTTATTCCTTTGTGGTCCTCAGGGTAGGTCTCACTGCAAGAGATGGGGGACCTTTATTTCTTTGTTGTCCTCACAATAGGTCTCGCTGTAAGAGAAAGGGGACCTTTATTCCTTCGTGGTCCTCAGGGTAGGTCTCACTGTAAGAGATGGGGGACCTTTATTTCTTTGTGGTCCTCACAATAGGTCTCGCTGTAAGAGAAAGGGGACCTTTATTCCTTTGTGGTCCTCAGGGTAGGTCTCACTGTAAGAGATGGGGGACCTTTATTTCTTTGTGGTCCTCACGGTACGTCTTGCTGTAAGAGAAAAGAGACCTGTATTCCTTTGTGGTCTTCACAGAAGGTCTCACTGTAAGAGAAGGGTGCCCTTATTCCTTTGTGGTCCTCCCGGTAAAACTTCGTTTGTGTGATGGATTTGCTTGGGCAATCACTAGAAGTAGAAATTATCTTAAATTATGTAAGTTTACTTCAACATACCATGAAGTTATTTCTTCTATTTAATCAATAGTACTTAAAATCATGTAATGAAAATTCATGTCCAAAGTGTACCAGAACAGGTGGTAAAATACAGAAAAACGGGAAAGGTGCTAATAGCCTTTAATACCGTTACAAACTTACAATTGTTGCCTACATCTAGAATTATTGTTCCATGCAATTGGTGCCATAATAATTTCCAGCTACATAATTAGGGCCAATTATGGACATGATAGACCTCGATTAGACATGTAAAACCTCGATCATTGTAGGGCCAACACTTAGACACAAGGGCGATTAGACTGAAATGTTGATCGAAGGACACCCTCTAGACACGGGCGACTTCAGGTCAATAGTGACGTAGTAAGGGTCACTTGAGTATTTTTAGTAAGCATGTGTTCGTATAGCGAGCCTACAGTCTTGTTCAGAGAAGCTCTACAGACGTTTTTTGTAAATTGTGGTTGTGTCGTATGATCCGAGGTAAATAAACACACAGAGGGTCTAAATCCCACAAGGAATACTATAAGCACTCAATTATAAATCAAATTAAGTAGATTTTTAAAACTAGTAGATTAAAAATCTGCCATGTATACATTCACACCACTAGCTAGTACAATTACAATTAAATTACTTTGCAACAAGTAAGATTATAGCTGCCACTAATACCCTTTGTTTGGTTCTTAAATTATAAGTGTTTGTTTATATAAATATGCTCGTGTACATGTCACCCGCCCTTTACACGAGGCCTTATTCACCCGAAACCCTTTGTTGGACGTCAGCAAACAAAGCTAATTGTGTACATGTCACCCGCCCTTTTCTTTGTAATATGGTTGGGGGCTGCGGTGGCCGAGTGGTCAAGGCGTCTGACATTCTGCTACCACTAGGTTGCGGGTTCGAGACCTACGTTGGGCAATCGCCAGATACACCGTAGGTCGGAGGTTTTTCTCCGAGAACTCTGGCTTTCCTCCACCACCAAAACCTGGACGTCCTTAAATGACCATAGCTGTTAATAGGACGTGAAACATAGACTGATTGCAAACGTTTGTCACGTATATTAGTGATGTTCCTGATATGCTTTACTTCACTGCAAATGTTTGATCTGTTCCTGTGTATTTGTTTTAATTCTGAAGTGTAACTTAATCTGTATACGCACAAAATATGAATTTATTTTAACCCCAAGTTTTATGAGACGGGTTATACTAATACGTTTCGGTTGTAAATTGACGACCTGCAGTGTATTGAGAGGGCTGTCACACCACATTTATCACCTCTATTAATCATGTTTTCTATCACTTATAATACTGTTGGTGCTTCAACAGGTTCTCGAGAAAATGGGAAGGCGGAGGAACTCCAAGCTACCTGATGCTATCAACGACAACAAAGAAAAAGTTTGTGCAATTCAATGAAGATTAAGGTTCTAGGACAAAATAGAAAAGATATACAGGGTCGTTCGTAGACACGTGAGATATTGTAATTGTAATTTGTTTATCAATGTTTAGCAGATTGATACGTCTCCGTCCATGACTTAAGACCAATGACATCATTAAATTTTGGAACTTCAAATTGATTACTAGAGGGATATTGTGGATGTACATAGTGAACTCTTTATTCTCAATTTTAATGCGATGTCAATTATTTATTTCTTCATCATGTCAAAATTGAATTCGTTATTCCGATGTTTATGAAATCATTCATCATATACATAAAGTCTTAACACATTCTAAATGTACTTTTTAAGAAATGTGTGATAAATATAAAATCATCATGTTTGACAAATGAAAATTGTAGTTGTGACTTAATAAATCGTCTAGTTGAAACAAACACAAACTTTTGTTATAATTATTAATAAATGAAGACATATCGCCAGAGATTATAAAAAATGTTCGGTATAATCAACATATTTATTTTCAATTTTTCTTTTACAAAACATCGATTTGGGTGCATAACATTTATTTGAATCAAAAAACGAGAACGATGTGATTGATACCAGTAAAATATATAGATATTGTAAACCGTGCACTACTCGAACAGATGAGTGTTGCTATCAAGGCTGCGGCAAACATCAGAGACTAGGAAATCCACCAGCAGTCTACCATCTTGTACATTGAAGGGCAGATGTAAGCTTCACACATGTGCTTGTATCTACAAAATTTTGTAATGTTTATATATGTTATACAAATGTTGAGTCCGTGTGACAAGAAAATGGTACAAAAAATTAAAAGTCACAAGAAGACCGATTTTAATGGCATTTCTCTTCAGAAGAACTATATAGCAGCGAAAGACCTCGAGAATCTGAGTTCTTGTGATATTCCATTTATCACTGTAAAGTAAAGATCCAGTCACGGCGAGATACAATGTTATTCAACCCGCACAAATATAAAGATGAATATAAGACATACACGTCATTGGCGTTGTACTTGTGACATTGGTATTAGATAAAGTACACCAAAAAGGAATGGCACCATACGGCTGTTGTTATTGGCCAAAAGATGGAAATCCAAACTACAAGTGTATAATGCGTAAAGTGTGTATTTTATGCACTTTGCCACGTCTCCAAACATGCTTATTATAGTTATCTAGGTTACGGTAAACCTCGGAGACTAGGAGCAGCAGAATCTTGCACAGTGTATCTTGAAAGAAGAAAATAGCACTTACTTGTGCTTGCACCTGTAAGTGTTGGTAACAGGTATATCCCGTAAAGGTTTCCTCTGTCACCACAAAATACAGGTGTGAAGTAATTTCGCCTAAAATGACAAGATCTGCGTGCATGTTTGATAGTTTATGTAGACTTATCGACAATGCTTGTATAGATGTGCCGATTACAGTACAGCCCATCGACAAGAGTAGTTTTCGTGAGAAATACAGCTCCTCTTTAAGCACGTATATCAGGGTAATGCGTTCAACTAAAACATCTTTTCCATATTGCATTAAATTTTGGAAATCAAATTAGCACGTTCCATTAAAATTATCGAATCGATCAAAATGCAGTTAAAATATGATACTGGTGCACTCTACCAGACACCGTAGTATCTGTATTTAAAATTGCATATATTTTGGGCTTTAACATCTTCATCCTATTGCCCATTTCAATTCGTTTGTAAACCATTTTTTTCTGTGAGGAAGAATACCCATATTATCCTGTCGATAGCTTCAATTTGTAAGAATATCCTGACCATTCTTTGCGGAACACGTCACATTAGAAGGATGTCGAACTATACACTTCTTACATATTACTCCGCCTTAAACGATACCCAGGACACGTGTAGTTAAACGATACCCATGACACGTGTAGTTAAACGATACCCAGGACACGTGTAGTTACCCAGGACACGTGTAGTTAAACGATACCCAGGACACGTGTAGTTAAACGATACCCAGGACACGTGTAGAACCCGTCACTTCGGAGTATATCACGAGAAACCAAACGTCATCGCTGGTCAGTGAACCGTTTAAAAAACAATTTTCTATATAAACATGTCAACCTCCATGACCATTCGTGTTGTCTATGACTTCCCGTATTTCCTTCAACTAACAGCCCTAGACATGTATACCCGTGTCTGTAAACACTAGTTTCCACAAAAGTGACCCTGCTTGCAAAGTAGAAGTAGTGCTGATTGATAACTAAGAAAATCCAACCAGTACATTTTTGTTTTTATCGCCCACCACCGACTTACGATAAGGATACGTATCTTCCTTGTTTGTATTGGATAAACAACAGTTTTATCATTGGCTCTGTTATTTTCTTAAACATGTCATATACAAACTTCTTACTACCATTAAATAAGGGTTACAGTTCGTATTCTCAAGAAGTGGAATTTGATGAAATTAAAGATCTTTAATAAATCTTAAACATTCTCGGCTCCAAAATGTTTCTTCTATCGGAAGAGTTAGTGAATTTGGTTGTATTCTCCTCGTATTTTCAAGGGTCACAATGCAAATGGTTCCTTTGTTCATAATTTGTCCTAGTTTTTATCCATTTCGAGTTCGAATAACAGTTTTGTCGACACTTCGGTGTTCTCTTGATGTATTTGTTTAATTATCGATCTTCACCACAATTCAAAGCATTCTAGGTTTACCACTCCTTGGAAGGATGTTACACAAAGTCACGGCTCTATGTGACGTTACACAGAGTGACGGCTCTATGTGACGTTACACAGAGTAACGGCTCTATGTGACGTTACACAGAGTAACGGCTCTATGTGACGTTACACAAAGTGACGGCTCTATGTGACGTTACACAAAGTCACGGCTCTATGTGACGTTACACAGAGTGACGGCTCTATGTGACGTTACACAGAGTGACGGCTCTATGTGACGTTACACAGAGTAACGGCTCTATGTGACGTTACACAAAGTGACGGCTCTATGTGACGTTACACAAAGTCACGGCTCTATGTGACGTTACACAGAGTGACGGCTCTATGTGACGTTACACAGAGTGACGGCTCTATGTGACGTTACACAGAGTAACGGCTCTATGTGACGTTACACAGAGTGACGGCTCTATGTGACGTTACACAGAGTGACGGCTCTATGTGACGTTACACAGAGTAACGGCTCTATGTGACGTTACACAGAGTGACGGCTCTATGTGACGTTACACAGAGTAACGGCTCTATGTGACGTTACACAGAGTGACGGCTCTATGTGACGTTACACAGAGTAACGGCTCTATGTGACGTTACACAGAGTGACGGCTCTATGTGACGTTACACAGAGTAACGGCTCTATGTGACGTTACACAGAGTGACGGCTCTATGTGACGTTACACAGAGTAACGGCTCTATGTGACGTTACACAGAGTGACGGCTCTATGTGACGTTACACAGAGTAACGGCTCTATGTGACGTTACACAGAGTGACGGCTCTATGTGACGTTACACAGAGTAACGGCTCTATGTGACGTTACACAGAGTGACGGCTCTATGTGACGTTACACAGAGTAACGGCTCTATGTGACGTTACACAGAGTGACGGCTCTATGTGACGTTACACAGAGTAACGGCTCTATGTGACGTTACACAGAGTGACGGCTCTATGTGACGTTACACAGAGTAACGGCTCTATGTGACGTTACACAGAGTGACGGCTCTATGTGACGTTACACAGAGTAACGGCTCTATGTGACGTTACACAGAGTGACGGCTCTATGTGACGTTACACAGAGTAACGGCTCTATGTGACGTTACACAGAGTGACGGCTCTATGTGACGTTACACAGAGTGACGGCTCTATGTGACGTTACACAGAGTAACGGCTCTATGTGACGTTACACAAAGTGACGGCTCTATGTGACAGATTTTCATATAACCATGGTCATAGTTTACCTTAAGTTGCAAAAACGAAAAACAGTTATTTATCCCAATGTTTATTTATCAAAGATGGCGGACGATATGGCCACTTTTGGAAAATAACCTTTTTGCTCACGTTTGTAAGATCATTCAGACAAAAGAATCAAGCCATAGACCGTGTGTCTGGCAAGGAAGAAACAAACAAGGAAGCACGAATGTTTTGGCAGGATATATTTAATTATAACAAGCTATTACGTGTTTCAATGTCACACACAAGTAAATGCTGAGCAGTAGTGGGTTAAGTATAGATATTTTACATACCTACAACATGCAGTACCGAATTGTCCGATATGACCGACTTTCTTCTGAACGTTTGAAATGGGACTGTAATCATTGTTATCTAAAGCAATAGTATGCTTGTGTAAGACACTGCTGCTTTATTAAACATTGACTTTTTCAATCCCTATGTTATTCTTATTGTCAAACACTTGTATAATCGGGCGTTACCACATTGATCAAAATACGTTAAAATATGTATCTAACGTTTTGAGAACAAACATCAAAAACATTCAACAGATCTATAACCTTCTGATATAGGACTGATCAACACTACACGGACAAAATACAGTCGTCATAGAAAAGATTAAAATACCAAGAAAAAGTTATGGTGAGGAAACGTTCGCTGTAGGAGAAAATGGCATTACAGGAGATGTAGCGAAAAACCGTTCATGATAGGTGGAAAACAGTTATACAGTGACAAGATATGGCGAGGAAACGTCCGTTATAGGAGAGAATAGCATTACAGTGACGAGATGTAGTGAAGAAACGTTCAATATAGGAGAGAATAGCATTACAGTGACGAGATGTAGTGAAGAAACGTTCAATATAGGAGAGAATAGCATTACAGTGACGAGATGTAGTGAAGAAACGTTCAATATAGGAGGGAATAGCATTACAGTGACGAGATGTAGTAAAGAAACGTTCAATATAGGAGCGAATAGCATTAAAGTGACGAGATGTAGTGAGGAAACGTTCAATATAGGAGCGAATAGCATTAAAGTGACGAGATGTAGTGAGGAAACGTTCAATATAGGAGAGAATAGAATTACAGTGACGAGATGTAGTGAGGAAACGTTCAATATAGGAGGGAATAGCATTACAGTGACGAGATGTATATATAGCGAGGAAACATCCCTTTTTGGGGGGACTAGCATTACAGTGACGAGATGTATATATAGTGAGGAAACGTCCCTTTTTTGTGGGGAATAGCATTACAGTGACGAGATGTATATATAGCGAGGAAACGTCCCTTTTTGGGGGGAATAGCATTACAGTGACGATATGTGTATAGAGCGAGGAACGTCCCTTTTTGGGGGGAATAGCATTACAGTGACGAGATGTATATATAGCGAGGAAACGTCCCTTTTTAGGGTGAATAGCATTACAGTGACGATATGTGTATATAGCGAGGAAACGTCCCTTTTTGGGGAGAATAGCATTACAGTGACGAGATGTATATATAGCGAGGAAACATCCCTTTTTGGGGGGACTAGCATTACAGTGACGAGATGTATATATAGCGAGGAAACATCCCTTTTTGGGGGGACTAGCATTACAGTGACGAAATGTATATATAGTGAGGAAACGTCCCTTTTTTGTGGTGAATAGCATTACAGTGACGAGATGTATATATAGCGAGGAAACGTCCCTTTTTGAGGGGAATAGCATTACAGTGACGAGAGGAAACAACATGATTGTAACATCTAATACTGTTGTTATTAAATTCTGACAAGCTTTTCTATTGGAATTAGTTTCTGAATATGAAATAAATTTCAATTTCAACAACATGAAAGAATAAGCAGACATCACCAAATTGTCCACGCGACAGTTAAGGAAAAATAGTTGAAAACATTCACAAATGTGTTTTAGAAAGTTTAACGTAACCGATCTCACAGTGGTACAGTAATGAATATATCACAATATATATAGTAAGGGGCACTGAGAACGTGTGAACCAAGTATGTACGTAGGTTATCAAAGACGAGTGGACAAAAGTAGAAAACACTTATTTATGTCGGGCTTACAGATGACATTTTAAATAAATTTTAAAAAGTTAAAAATTTCTTCCAACTAAACATAACAAATATTGCTGCACATCCAGAAAAAAATAAAATATATGCTTAAAAATTACAACAATGCCAGTATGTGTACTTATAAATGCAGTTTCTTTACGGTAATCATTCAGCATGATTCAGTAGGTAATTTGATATACATGTAGGGTGAAATGTAGGGTGATATGTTTCCTATTGGAACCGTTATTTTCACAAAAAGGACTATGACATATAATTAATATTTAAAGCTTTTGCTTTTTCAAATGCAAAATAAAAAGTTTGAAAATGTAGAAATTGTCAATTTGAACCAATAAGTATCCTCTGTTCTACAAAAGATTCAAACATTATATCACAATAAATTAGTGTTTTAACTTAATGAAAATCTCGTAAAATTATTTCACGGAAACATTCCTAGAAGTAATTTTCATAACAATGATGTGGCTTGGTCGGTATAGCTTTTATCTATCTATTTATGTGAAATTCTGCACTAATTAAAAGTGAGAGTATCCTGTAATAAACAGATGTTCAATTGATAGTTGTTCAACCAATCACAGCATTGGTGTGTGTGGTCTAACCAATATCAACCAATCACAGCATTGGTGTGTGTGGTCTAACCAATATCAACCAATCACAGCATTGGTGTGTGTGGTCTAACCAATATCAACCAATCACAGCATTGGTATGTGTGGTCTAACCAATATCAACCAATCACAGCATTGGTGTGTGTGGTCAAACCAATAAGCATGTAGTCAATCCTCAGATCACATACATTACACATTATAGAATACAAAAAATACAAAACATACAGAAATGGAATGTCTCAATTGGAACTAATAAAGCTTAAGAAAATGAAATTTCAACTTGACAATGACAATCGGGATCAACTGTGTGTAAGATTTAAAGCTACACTAAGGTATTAACTATGATTATATTGCTAAAATTACATAGGAATCTAATAGAATATACAATTGTGTGTATGGTATTCATGTATGTAACATTTGTATCATGCAACAATAAACCATCACAATAAACCCACAACCTGAACAGGATTTGGATAACTACAACAGGATTTGGATAACTACAACAGGATTTGGATAACTAACAGGATTTGGATAACTAACAGGATTTGGATAACTACAAGCAAGATTTTCGTGAGGAGAGGCAGTCCATGCCATTTTAAAGATTTGTTTCGAAAGGTTTTGGTTAAATACCCAGAAAAGCTAGCTTTGGTACAATATCAATTAGATAAAACACTGTTTTCTTACACAGCACTATGTTTTAAAACTATGTACATATAAATAAAATTATATAATCAATGAAAATATTTCTTGGTTTTAATTAAAATCTGAGATATTATTACCAGTTAAGTTTCTCTTCTTGACCGATTCTAATCTTAACATCCGTTAATAAATCATCCTATTCCATACTTTAGAAGGTATGATTTCCAGGTAAGAACAACCATCAAGCAAGATTGAACAAAGAGACTATGATAAACTAAAGGTTCGGGCGGTTCGGGCATGCGAGCTGATAATAGGGTAATTTCAAATACAACAGGGAAACTGAAGATACCAGGGGAAAAATCAACCTAAGGTATACATGTAATACGATATGGACAACAAATAAAAACGTGAACTAATGAGCTAGTGTTAACATGTCTAAAACATCAAATATAAAACAAAAACAGTTTAATAAACTACGAAAAACAAAACACAGACAAAACAAAGATGGGGACAAACACTAAAATATTAGAAAACAATGTGATATCTCACAGAGCAAACATTAACAACATCGTCAACCAAATAATTAAATTTCATTAATAAATATACATATTGTATGTGGAGAAGACATTGGGTAAAACTACGTAAAAATGTAGTTAAATGATATTGTGTAGACAAGATATTTAAAATGCTACCAAGTAAATATTTCACAGGCAGTATTTCTGATAACACAATAACTCTGTAGATATGCAACTGCAACATTAAATATCATGTAGATCTAACCATTAAATAAAGTCTTAACCCGGAAATCAATGTCTCCAAAGGTATAATACGCAGTGTGTACCTTATAAGATACATACTGTTCAAATCAAAGTTTTCTATTTCAAATAAAAAAATAAACAAAATAAAATACCTTACTAAGTTCTCTAAACATAAATTATTTTTCATTTTGCAAATTAATTTTCTTTATAAAAAAAAAAGAAGGAAATATCTTGTATGTCCTAAAAAGACATTTCTGAACAAAGGTTACATAAAAATATGTATAGGAATATAATGAGAACACATGCACTAAAGCACCCTTTTGTACAACAACCTGAGTATAGCGGTGTATACGTAGGCTACAACACGATAATAATAAAATCATAAATCAGATCTATCTTACTAGCAGGTATATCTACAATAATTCATAGCAACACAAGAGTATGGCAGTAGCTGGAACTGGAAGCCTAAGCATAACTTAGGTCTAAGAAAAGAGTCGGAAAGGGGTATAACTTCCATACAAATATTTTAAATATAAAAACTTTGCAGCTGTAAAATAACCAAACACAATGAACATGTATACCAAGCTTTATAAATATCGGTCAAACTTAAGTAGCGTTAGCAAATACCAGAAAATGGACATTTAAACACTGCCATACATTTAGTGACACTCTACAATATGTGACAGGGGTACCAGAAAACGGACATTTAAACACTGCCATACATTTAGTGACACTCTACAATATGTGACAGGGGTACCCAAACTTAGGGTAATGAGTACTAATGACTATTTGTACAAAATTTGCAAAATGAATCAGAAAAAGGGATGTAACTCAGAACAAAAGTATTGAAATTGAAATCATCAGGCAATTATTAAAAATATAAAAATTTGTAAAATCAGTTGAGATGTTAAGTAGCGGTGTGCTGGACAACCTTTCATCCATAGATTTTGATGTGAAGAGTACATTAATGAAATACTGGTATGCTACAAAGTAAGAGTACTTGTAGAGCAATAATGATATACCTCGGTTACAAAGTATGGGAACTGAGAGTACATTCACATATACCTCGGTTACAAAGTACAGGAACTGATAGAGTACATTCACATATAGCTCGGTTACAAAGTACGTGAACTGATAGAGTACATTCACATATACCTCGGTTACAAAGTACGGGAACTGAGAGTACATCCACATATACCTCAGTCACAAAGTACGGGAACTGAGAGTACATTCACATATACCTCGGTCACAAAGTACAGGAACTGATAGAGTACATTCACATATGCCTCGGTTACAAAGTACGGGAACTGATAGAGCACATTCACATATACCTCGGTTACAAATTACGGGAACTGATAGAGTACATTCACATATAGCTCGGTTACAAAGTACGTGAACTGAGAGTACATCCACATATACCTCGGTAACAAAGTACGGGAACTGAGAGTACATTCACATATACCTCAGTTACAAAGTACAGGAACTGATTAGAGTAGATTCACATATACCTCAGTTACAGAGTACGGGAACTGAGAGTACATCCACATATCCCTCAGTTACAAAGTACGGGAACTGATAGAGGACATTCACATATACCTCGGTTACAAAGTACGTGAACTGATAGAGTACATCCACATATACCTCGGTTACAAAGTACGTGAACTGATAGAGTACATTCACATATTCCTCAGTTACAAAGTACGGGAACTGAGAGTACATTCACATATACCTCAGTAACAAAGTACGGGAACTGAGAGTACATTCACATATACCTCGGTCACAAAGTACAGGAACTGATAGAGTACATTCACATATAGCTCGGTTACAAAGTACGTGAACTGAGAGTACATCCACATATACCTCGGTTACAAAGTGCGGGAACTGAGAGTACATCCACATATCCCTCAGTTACAAAGTACGGGAACTGAGAGCACATCCACATATACCTCAGTCACAAAGTACGGGAACTGAGAGTACATTCACATATCCCTCAGTTACAAAGTACGGGAACTGAGAGAACATCCACATATACCTCGGTTACAAAGTGCGGGAACTGAGAGTACATCCACATATACCTCGGTTACAAAGTGCGGGAACTGAGAGTACATCCACATATCCCTCAGTTACAAAGTACGGGAACTGAGAGTACATCCACATTCCACATGTCCCATTTTATTCCACACCCGGTGTATTACAGTTTAAATACAATACTCTACAGATGGTGGTGAATTACTATGATACTTGTGTATTAATTTACTATGACGATAGCACAGTTCAGTATGTAAACTATGATCCTCTATGTACTGTGGTAATTAATGATGTGATTTTGATTAGAATGATTCAACATAAAATGGCTGATACATCGTCAAGCACATCTTTAAATTATAAAGTGATGCGACTCCTTAATTAAAACACTAATTTACAAAACAAAATTATCATCACAGTTGACTTAGTTTAATTAAGCTAATCTACATAGATAAAAGTGAACTCTTTTCTAATTGTTGTCTTTCAGGGGAGGAGGGGTGAAAGTGACACAGAGGGACAAGCCCTCACCACCAAATTATAAAGCTGATAAAATGTGTATCAAAACATATTCTTCATCAGTCAAACACTACACAAATATATCTAACACCAAACGTGTCAGATTTCAAAAACTCAATCTAGAATATTATTCACAAAAGAGGAAATATTATTACTGGTATTTAATATATTCATTATTAAAATACACAAATTATGCTCAAATCACTTGTAAATGGTTTTACAGGCAAACCAGTATATATATCAGTGAAGTGCCCATATTTCCATATTATCTAGACTAGAGAGATAAAAGACAGTGGCAATAATACAGGCTCATACCTACACACTGTTTTGTCAAACTAACACTTTTTTAATACCTTTGCTTTCTGTAGGTCACAAATGTTCTGTGTAAGTCGTTTACTGCAGCTATGCCACTGAAAAGTACCAGGGTACTTTAAATTTCAACCCAAGAAGGGTGAACTTTGGTATGTGGCAACTTTCCCTCTATTCCATTCAATGGTTGCAGAGACCTGACCGAGATAGATAAAGCATAACGAAAGGTCAGGGTTTTCCCATTCCCATAGATATTCTTATATGATTTTACTACTTTGAGTTTATCATGACTTTTGTGTTGAGCAAAATTTGGATCAGCTGGAACTAATGAGGAAATCCCTAAATAAAGCCAATACTCCACGCCAATGTGATGATCTGTAAACACTTGGGTACCAGTGTCAGAATCAAATTCTAAACACCTCATCAAAACATCAGAGTCAGACTGCCTCTTGTAAACATCATGCTACAGTATTACATGTGATTTTTACATTACTATAAATAATTTCTCAAATACAGATATTTTTCATTAACAATAATCTCAAGGGAAACTCCTTCGACAAATAAGTGGTCTTCTTTCATTGCCAATCCATCTTGAAGTCATCATTCTTTAATTATAACTGAGGTGCTGGTTAGGTGAGAACTGAAGTATTGAGTTTAAATTATTGATCTGTATAAACTATTCAAACTTCAAGGGTTAACCTACGTCTACGATAGAAAACCTACAAGTCACACAACAAACAAATCTTATCTTGTATCTTCTCTCCATGACATTAATGGAAATAATATCAATAAATACACTATAGGTGTAGCTATACATATTGTAAACAGCTGTATTACACAGGTACCACACCCAATACGGCAGCTCACTTCTACAGATACACAAACCATACCAATCACCACCAGACAAGGACAAACACTGGCTAATCCACAAACAGGGTTATACTTTGATTGAACATTCAACATGTTAAAGAGTAAACAGAACTTTTGTGATAATTCAAAATTACATAAAGATACACATTCTTAAAGCAATGATATAAAGATATGACCTTGTGACTTAAACCGAACTAAAACCCACACTAAGGAGGATCAGGTGAACATTTAAATTTATAACAATATACATTCTTACACAAGGACGCCATTAACATGCTATGCATGATGTCAACAAAAACATAAATATTAGTTTATACAGAGGAATCTGTCTGATAAACAATGGAATAAACACACAACCTGATAAAACTTAACAAGATTGCACAGTAAAATATCAACCTTCTGACCAGTCACCCCTGGTTAAACCCTGGTCCATACATGGGCAGTGTCCTTTCAAATCATAAAAAAAAAGATCGGTAATACAATCTAAAACATCTGAAAATCATCAAATATTGATGACAGCTCACTTTTGCCAACATTATAAAAGCATAAAATATTGATGCACGTGCCGACAGCAATATCGCTTACATTTTCTTACATTCTACATTTAAGTACAAGGTCCTTGTTGACATTCATGCCATCAACAATGAAACAATTTCTGGTGTTTAAACAGTTATTAATCTGCAGATAAATGCTTACCTTCATTAGTTGAGAGATTATATAAGAATTAACACTTAACATATTGTCAAAGCTTGCATTTTTCAACTGATTTTGATTAAAACATTTCTGTATGGCACCATCGGGTGCTGTATACAACATTGTGAGCAACTATTAACATGTGTTATGTAAAAGCATCTTCTATCATCAAGTCAGCAACAAACTCATACATAAAACTCTCAGAAAATCTACATCACTCGCATCTAAGCACTTTTGATTATCAACCATTTGGCTATCGTATAATTATGCAAATTAAGTATGCTATTTTCAGTACATTACCTTCTGTATCCACATTGGTATGGCCCAGCTCATGTACATTACATTCTGTATCCACATTGGTATGGACCAGCTCATGAAGACATATTGCAGTAAAAGGGATACCAATCAGATATTATCTGATAAAAGATTGATAGCGACTTTTGGCAGGCTTACAGTTTTACAACAGTTTAAAATTATAACAGATATTCAATAAACTTATCGCTACAGTATTAATTAACATAGAGATGATCTACGATTGGCCATATTAGGACTTTGTGTTTCCTAGCTGATTTGCCATATTAGGACTTTGTGTTTCCTAGCTTATTGGCCATATTAGGACTTTGTGTTTCCTAGCTGATTGGCCATATTAGGACTTTTGTTTCCTAGCTGATTGGTCATAAGACTCCATGTTAGATGTTGTAGTTTAGACTCTCTCTACTGCGCTGATGATACTGATTGGCTGTTGCTCATTCTGTTGCAGAGATTCCTGTAGCGCTGGTTGTTCTTCCGGTACTTCTTGCTGGTCACCTCCCGTCATTTCTGTGTCCCCATCCATTGGTTCATACTCAGACGGCTGGTTTAAGTCCAGGAATCGTATTCCTCTGTAGAATGAAATAGGCATTAGCTTGTGTTGGTTATATAGTTCACTAGTTGTTTGAATACTATTATCTTCCTCATGACAACATACTCTCATTTTATGTATGGTTATATTTTCAAAAGCTACACTAAACAGAAGTCTGCTCATATGAATTACCATATATCAATCCATTGTGTCTTTTCAATAATAATGTATCACCAAACATTATGCCTTTCAATAAAAGTATCGTAGGTAACATAGCAAATTAACTTAAACATTATTTAGAGCTGTCACGAGACACTTTACCCATGATTCGATACGAATCTCAATATTTGTACCACGATTCGATTATTTCGATTCGATACACCTTTATTTTAAAATATAAACAAAATGAAATATATAAGCCGTCGATAAACGGGAACCTGCAGTGTTTCAACACTTTTGATATGAAGCTTGCCGGAGCATCACAAATTTTCATTTCCTTACCGCGGTCCGTCATTTTGATAGGAATACTTTGTGAAAATTGTATCCTCGCAGCCAATTGGCTAAGAGTTTAGAGATCAGCCAATGAAATTGAACGTTTCACAGACGTTTCGGCTGAAGCGGTATACACTACTATTCAGATCATGACATATCGAAAATCTTAAACAAAAGGTCCATTGGACCTGTATCGCTCACCTGGTTTTATATTTAAGTCATTACAACTGAATGCATTAGTACATCTTTATATGAAATTTCCTCAAAACCAGACAAGATCTATGTTCTAACCCAACTAGGACCACAATATCTGACTTTCAACTAATTAGGGGCCTCCATTGAGTTGCCATATTTACAGATTTTGAAATAAGTAATATGTCATATTACAGGGTGTAATTAGACAATACTTTAATTTTCATTCAACTATAAGCTTTTATGAAACCTAGAAACCAATTTTTAACAATTTATAAAAACTACACCATAGAATATGATAATATAGCTGTACCATTTCTTAGTACCGCAGGGGTCAAATCAACCTCATTCAATTAAGAAATGTTTGCAGGCAATTAGGGGATACATTCATTAACGTCTTAAAGCAAAATATTACATAATTTTCCTCTTTGGGGCCCGGTCTTCCTAGCCCCAGGGGTCGAACCAGTCTCATTTATTTAGGAAATGATAGCCCTCCCCCAATAAAGTTTCAGAGCAAATTTGGTTGAAATCTTCTCTGGCATTTAGGAGGAGATGCGTTTTAAAGCAAATATAGCTAAGTTCTCCTTCAGTGCCCCGCCTCCCTGGCCTCAGGGGTCGAACCAACCTCATATATTTAAGAAATGTTTGCCCTTCCCTAGTGATGCTTCAGACTGAATTTGGTTGAAATCTTCTCTGGCATTTAGGAGGAGATGCGTTTTAAAGCAAATATAGCCAAGTTCCCCTTCAGGCTCCCGCCTCCCTGGCCTCAGGGGTCAAACCAACCTCATTTATTTACGAAATAATTGCCCATCCCTACTGATGCTTCAGACTAAATTTGGTTGAAATCCTCTTTGGTGTTTAGGAGGAGATGCGTTTTAAAGCAAATATAGCCAAGTTCCCCTTCGGGCAGGTGAGCTAAAAATGTATCGTGAATCGAATCAAACATAAATAATCGCGGTACAAGTGCATCGCTGTGAATCGTGACACCTCTAACATTATTGTACCTATTTCCTCGTCTGTGTTTTTCTACTACAATAGTGTGTTAATTATGAAAGTTGTACACACTTAAATGGAGTTTCTCTTTCATAAACATAATCTTATGCCGTATATTCATGATCATATATGGTATAGCACTAACTGAAGTACTGCGATGTTTTGCCACAATTTGGTTGGGTCGGTTTTGCCATAAGCGGCCCCGGTATACAGGATCACTTACATAGTAAATGCCACAGGGAGGATGAGGAACAGGACAGAGATGACAAAGACAAATCCTGTGAAGTAGTGGAGGGTACCGGCGTACATGGCCTGGAACATGAGGGGCGCCAGGAAGTAGGATATGCTTTCTCCACAGTGCATCAATGCAAACAGGGAACCTAAAAGGGGCAAACATATACAATATATTAACAAAAACGAAGAACCTTACGGTATAGATGGAATCTGATGTTTCCTCTTTGAGATCAACATTGCATGCATTATGGTACTTTCATAAATTACTGTCATCATTTCAAAACATATTCTCAATGAAGTTAATCAAATAAACTACAAAACTTTACCTTTAAGGAAAATTCTACATTCAGTTTTATAGCCACAATTTACATATGCCCTTGGTAGACAGGTAACATGGTTTCAAGATTTCCTTTAATATTTTGTACCTTGATCTGTAGTTTCGATTCCATTAGCAACAATGGACCTCAACATTGGGAAGGGAAGTAACTCCAACACCAAGAGTAGTATAGCTGAAAAAAAATGTGCATATAAAATGAAAGGATTGATCATCAGCAATAAATTAAATAAAACCTGCAGCATACATACTTTCAGACAAAAAACGAAATATTTATTTTTGGGTTTAGATTGGTATCTTTAAATTAAAGAGATAGGAAAATTAAGTTTTATACCAACAAATACATGCCAGCTTATCAAATCTGCTGTCAGACCAGGGGCCTGTTCCATTACGGGGAAAACTGCCTGGTTATTGGCATACAGTACACATGAACCAATAAATACAGACAAACTCATCAAGGGGCAGACCTAGGGATCTAGGAATTTAACCCCCCCCCCTTTTACTTAAACCCCTGAATAGGTCCCTGGATCAGACAATGCATTATCAATAACAGTTTTATAAATGAATAGGTGTGTGACTCATGACTTACAAAAGTAAAGGACCGTTTCATTTTTAACAACAGCTATCCAAAGTGTTCCAATAGCCTTGGAGAAGAGACCAGCAAAGGTAATACTGGTATCCGAGAGTATCAGCTTTAGAACAGGTGGAGTAGACACAGTCCCGATAGCCGCGACAGCCATGATGACTGATAGGAACATACCAATCCTGGCAGTTGGCCAACCATAGGGAGGTCCTCGTAGGTACAGGACGAGAGTATTTATCTGCCCAATGTGAACAATTGCGTACGTCTGAAAAGCAAGAATTGCCAGCCATATTTTGACCATCTTACGATTGGTACATCGGAAAAACTTCCCCATTGGTTTGAATGTATCAATACAGCAGTTTTCAGTTGTGTAGTTCCTGGTGGTTTGAACACTTTCCGGAATTTTGACCTCCTTGACCAGGAAGAATGATATCAGGAATGCTATTGCGCTACAAATTACAGTGAACCAAAATGGCTGAAGAAAGCCCCAATCTTTTACCCAGAATCCTGCCATGATATTTGCAATTGCATATGCTGCACCATTCAGAAATTCCTGAAGAGCAAGCCGCCACGCTCTTTTCTCTGGCTCAACAGAATTAATTGCAAAAAAGGTAGCGCCAGCATAAAATGCTGTCATACTTCCACTGAGACCTCTCAATGCTGAGGCCATGAAGAGCCCATCAATGGTCCAACTTGTGTACAGGATAAGGATATAGATGAGGGAGTAAAGCAGGCTTCCAAAAGCCGGCACCCATAGCAACATCTTTCTTTTGCCAGTTCTGTCACTTAGTGCTCCCAAAATGATGACAGTTACCACGGATGGGAGTCCTTCAGCCATTTGCAACCCCAAAACAGCCATGATACTTTCCTTGTGCGCCTCATAGTAAGGACCGGACTGGTTCTCGTCATCAGGCGGGAAGTAAATTTCCTCGTGGTCAACTACGGTGTTGTTGAGACCACGCTGTTTATATATCTCGGACTGTACATATTCCTGGAACAACGGTAAAGTCATGTGTCGAGAGAGAAAGAATGTGAAATAGGCAACCTCGACGAGGTATGGTTGTATGGTGGTTATGACCCCCATTAACCAATCGTCCAGTCTCTGTAAACGACTCATGCTGACGATATTCACGGCTCTTACTTATATGTCAAATCAACATTTTCGTTTCAGCGTTTCTAACTCCCAATGCTATGGTCCTGGTGTAATGACAACTTCCGGCAACACTGCGCCCCGCATCGCGTGATCAAAGGGAAGTCATTCTCATTGAAACAGGCGCAGCTCTGTCTGGCACATTACTGATATATATATGAATTCATTACAAATCATGATGGTTGACTCAGCGAGATATTTTTGTCGACATCATTATTTAAACCAAATAAATTTACCGGTGACAGGAATATGTCACCATAGTATATTTAAAACAAACTGCATCTGATTTTTATAAAAAAAATATTAGGCCTAATCCAAATTTTGTAATTCACTAATTGACAATTACGTCACAGCAGAGACGTATAAAGCCATTGTGTTATATACTATCTATCTTGTATACTGTTCACAATCCTCTGGGAATTATTCCGAACAGGTATATATATATACGTCTCTGGTCACAGTCTTTTATATTCTGAAGTCCGTAGACTCTATATAAACTAAGCTCAATTTTGTGTGTGTTAATTTTGTCAGCATATATACAAGACCGGTACGGGTGTCATACCATATATAGTCACTGTCGGCATTGGCTAATTGCAACCATATATCTCGATGTTTTTTCATTGTTGACTTTATATTGGTGCAGGGCCCCCGCAATATTAGATGAGGGACAATGGCTTCGCAATAAGCTTAGAGTGCTCCAAAATTTGTGATATTAACCTTGTCAATGTGATAATCCAAATACTGTGACAAATCTGTGATCATATGTGATATTTGTACTTGTATCATGATTTTACCGAATAAATATTGTTATTATTACCTAAGCTATAATACGGCAATGGATTATGACGTAATTTCATTGTCAGCATTAAAAAAAGAAATGCTTTGTGACGTCACCATGGTTTGCATTGGAAACAAGGCATCGTAATGCAGAGCCGCCGCGTGAGTCGGAGGGTGGTGGACAGCGATTATAATAGTGGCATATCAGAGTGTTTGTACTGGAACGAGAAACAAGTGGCAGACTGGGTGGAGGAGCAGGGCTTCCCGCAATATAAGGTGAGGGGCAGCTAGGGATCCCTGCAGTATAAGGTGAGGAACAGGGCTTCCCGCATTATGAGATGAGGAACAGGATTTCCCGCAGTTTATGGCGATGAATAGGACTTCCCGCAGTATAAGGTGAGGATAGGGCTTCCCGCAGTATAAGGCGAGGAAAGGGCTCCCCGCAATATAAGGTGAGGAACAGGGCCTCCCGCAATATAAGATAAGGAGCAACTAGGGATTCCCGCAGTATAAGGCGAGGAGCAGGGCTTCCCGCATTATGAGATGAGGAACAGGGTTTCCGACAGTTTATGGCGATGAATAGGACTTCCCGCAGTATAAGGTGAGATAGGGCTCCCCGCAGTATAAGGCGAGGAACAGGGCTTCCCGCAATATAAAGCGCGGAGCAGGGCTTCCCGCAATATAAGGTGAAGGCAGCTAGCTAGGGATTCCTGCAGTATAAGATGAGGAGCTGCTAGGGATTCCCGCAGTATAAGGTGAGGGGCAGGACTTCCGGCAATATAAGGCGAGGAGCAGGGCTTCCCGCAGTATAAGGTGAGGGGCAGGACTTCCCGCAGTATAGGATGAGGATCAGCTAGGGATTCCCGCAGTATAAGGAGAGGGGCAGGACTTCCCGCAGTATAAGGCGAGGAGCAGGGCTTCCCGCAGTATAAGGTGAGGGGCAGGACTTCCCACAAGATAAGGTGAGGGGCAGCTAGCTAGGGATTCCTGCAGTATAAGATGAGGATCCGCTAGGGATTCCCGCAGTATAAGGTGAGTGGCAGGACTTCCCGCAATATAAGATGAGGATCAGATAGGGATTCCCGCAGTATAAGGTGAGGGGCAGGACTTCCCGCAATATAAGATTAGGATCAGCTAGGGATTCCTGCAGTATTAGATGAGGATCAGCTAGGGATTCCCGCAGTATAAGGAGAGGGGCAGGGCTTCCCGCAATATAAGAAGAGGATCAGCTAGGGATTCCTGCAGTATTAGATGAGGATCAGCTAGGGATTCCCGCAGTATAAGGGGAGGGGCAGGACTTCCCGCAATATAAGGCGAGGAGCAGGGATTCCCGCAGTATAAGGTGAGGGGCAGGGCTTCACGCAATATAAGATGAGGATCAGCTAGGGATTACTGCAGTATAAGATGAGGAGCTGCTAGGGATTCCCGCAGTATAAGGCGATGAGCAGGGCTGACCGCAATATACTGCGATGAGCAGGGCTTCCCGCAATATAAGGCGATGAGCAGGGCTTCCCGCAATATAAGGCGATGAGCAGGGCTTCCCGCAATAGAAGATGAGGATCAGCTAGGGATTCCTGCAGTATTAGATGAGGATCAGCTAGGGATTCCCGCAGTATAAGGAGAGGGGCAGGACTTCCCGCAGTATAAGGCGAGGATAGGGCTTCCCGCAGTATAAGGTGAGGATAGGGCTCCCCGCAGTATAAGGCGAGGACAGGGCTTCCCGCAATATAAGGTGAGGGGCAGCTAGGGATTCATGCAGTAGAAGATGAGGAGCAGCTAGGGATTCCCGCAGTATAAGGTAAGGGGCAGGACTTCCCGCAGTATAAGATGAGGATCAGCTAGGGACTCCTGCAGTATAAGATGAGGAGCTGCTAGGGATTCCCGCAGTATAAGGCGATGAGCAGGGCTTCCCGCAAAATAAGATGAGGATCAGCTAGGGATTCCCGCAGTATAAGGGGAGGGGCAGGACTTCCCGCAATATAAGATGAGTATCAGCTAGTGATTCCTGCAGTATACGATGAGGTTCATCTAGGGATTCCCGCAGTATAAGGCGAGGAGCAGGGCTTCCCGCATTATGAGATGAGGAACAGGGTTTCCGACAGTTTATGGCGATGAATAGGACTTCCCGCAGTATAAGGGGAGATAGGGCTCCCCGCAGTATAAGGCGAGGAACAGGGCTTCCCGCAGTATAAGGTGAGGGGCAGGGCTTCCCGCAGTATAGGATGAGGATCAGCTAGGGATTCCCGCAGTATAAGGGGAGGGGCAGGACTTCCCGCAATATAAGGCGAGGAGCAGGGATTCCCGCAGTATAAGGTGAGGGGCAAGGCGAGGAAAGGGCTCCCCGCAATATAAGGTGAGGAACAGGGCTTCCCACAATATAAGATAAGGAGCAACTAGGGATTCCCGCAGTACAAGGCGAGGAGCAGGGCTTCCCGCAATATAAGGTGAAGGCAGCTAGCTAGGGATTCCTGCAGTACAAGATGAGGATCAGCTAGGGATTCCCGCAGTATAAGGGGAGGGGCAGGACTTCCCGCAATATAAGATGAGGATCAGATAGGGATTCCCGCAGTATAAGGTGAGGGGCAGGACTTCCCGCAGTATAGGATGAGGATCAGCTAGGGATTCCCGCAGTATAAGGAGAGGGGCAGGACTTCCCGCAGTATAAGGTGAGGATAGGGCTCCCCGAAGTATAAGGCGAGGACAGGGCTCCCCGCAATATCAGGTGAGGAACAGGGCCTCCCGCAATTTAATATAAGGAACAGGGTTTCCCGGAGTTTAGGGCGATGAATAGGACTTCCCGCAGTATAAGGTGAGATAGGGCTCCCCGCAGTATAAGGCGAGGAACAGGGCTTCCCGCAGTATAAGGTGAGGGGCAGGACTTCCCGCAGTATAGGATGAGGATCAGCTAGGGATTCCCGCAGTATAAGGGGAGGGGCAGGACTTCCCGCAATATAAGATTAGGATCAGCTAGGGATTCCTGCAGTATTAGATGAGGATCAGCTAGGGATTCCCGCTGTATAAGGTGAGGGGCAGGACTTCCCACAAGATAAGGTGAGGGGCAGCTAGCTAGGGATTCCTGCAGTACAAGATGAGGATCAGCTAGGGATTCCCGCAGTATAAGGAGAGGGGCAGGACTTCCCGCAGTATAAGGTGAGGATAGGGCTCCCCGAAGTATAAGGCGAGGACAGGGCTCCCCGCAATATAAGGTGAGGAACAGGGCTTCCCGCATTATGAGATGAGGAACAGGGTTTCCGACAGTTTATGGCGATGAATAGGACTTCCCGCAGTATAAGGTGAGATAGGGCTCCCCGCAGTATAAGGCGAGGAACAGGGCTTCCCGCAGTATAAGGTGAGGGGCAGGGCTTCCCGCAGTATAGGATGAGGATCAGCTAGGGATTCCCGCAGTATAAGGGGAGGGGCAGGACTTCCCGCAATATAAGGCGAGGAGCAGGGCTTCCCGCAGTATAAGGTGAGGGGCAGGACTTCCCGCAATATAAGGCGAGGAGCAGGGCTTCCCGCAGTATAAGGTGAGGAATAGGACTTCCGGCAGTATAAGGTGATGACAGGGCTCCCCGCATTATAAGGTGAGGAGCATCTAGGGCTTCCCGCAATATAAGGTGAGAGGCAGGGCTTCCCGCAGTATAAGATGAGGAGCAGGGCTTCCCGCAGTTTATGGTGAGGAATAGGACTTCCGGCAGTATAAGGTGAGGATAGGGCTTCCCGCAGTATAAGGTGATGACAAGGGTCCCCGCATTATAAGGTGAGGAGCAGGGCTTCCCGCAATATAAGGTGAGGAGCATCTATGGCTTCCCGCAATATAAGGTGAGGGGCAGCTAGGGATTCATGCAGTATAAGATGAGGAGCAGCTAGGGATTCCCGCAGTATAAGGCGAGAAGCAAGGCTTCCCGCAATATAAGGAGAGGAGCATCTATGGCTTCCCGCAATATAAGGTGAGGGGCAGCTAGGGATTCATGCAGTATAAGATAAGGAGCAGCTAGGGATTCCCGCAGCATATGGTGATGAGTAGGGCTTCCTGGAGTAAATGGTGAGCAGTAGGGCCTCCCGCCCTTCACACGCAGTACAAAGTTAAGGAACATGACTAACTGTAGTATACTTTCAGCGAGAAGCAGGGGTTCCTTATGTATATTGACACGAAGAGTCCGTAGCGATTTCCATTTGTGGTTCTGCGGAATGTTAAGCTGTGAGTCCCAAGTGACCAAACAGGCTGCATGCCTTCGGATTGCGTCCAGTTTGATGATGTTACCTTCCTTTGCTGGGACTGACGATGCGTTCTCCAGGAATGGTCCAAAAAGTGTGGAGTAGCATTGTGCCTTGACCTTGGTTTGGCAACATTGGAAATTGCTGCCGAGAAATGCCAACATGGAATTTGCTTTATTTTTGACCATTCCAGTTGAGGTTCTTATGCATGTTACTTAGCTAATGGAACGGTGTTAGGTACCTGTCCAGGGATGTTGTAGTTGGACTGTAGTGGAAACCTTCTGGCGGTGATTTAGAGAACCTTACTCCTATCGTGATTAAAACGCAGCAAGCATTAATTTTGTTCTCTGAGCACTGCAGTTGATCCAAGTCCCTGTTGTAATATGACGTGGTCCACTGTTAATGTTATACGTCGTCAATACAAGGGGCAATCGTCTGCAAACAGTCTGATGGTTGATTTGACTGCTGAAGGGAGGTCTTTGGTAAATACTAAAAGTAACAGAGGTCGGAGCACTGTGTCCAGATGAAACCATACTGGGAAATGACGATTAGCCGTAAAGAATAAAACGCTGGGTTTTGTCGAGTAAGGAGCTGGAGATCCAGTCATGGAGTCTATGACGAATGTCATTGTGCTGAAGTTTCATGACAAGACCTCTGGAATACTTTGTCGAAAGCGTTAGAAACGTAGGATAAAATCAACTTGTTCACCTTCATCTACCCCCTGGCATTGTCCTCGATGGACAGAATAAGTTTTGTCTCAATTTTGATAGTCTGTCAGTAGTTGGTTGATGGCCCATATGAAAACTTTGCTGCCGGCGTTTAATGTTTTAATGTCAAGAAGACGGGTCTTTATTCAATTGGCGCATTTCTGTCGTCTTTCTTACAGAGAGGTGTACTATTGGCAGAGTTCAGGTCCTATGGCACTTTTCTTTGATCAAGTGATGCTTGGAAGATGAGTGTCAGATCTGGTGTGATCTGCTGGACCGTCTCTTTAAGAGGACAAGAGAAGGCTTTCTCAGTTCACGTAGCACTGTTTCTCGTGCTATTAATGTGTCGCAGAAACATTCAAATTTTACTAACAGTTAATCCAGTCCTGATTCATTTTCCAGCAATGCTTCCTGACTAACTGCGTCACTGGGCGGATGTTGATCGCTACAGATACGTCTGCGCTGCCGAGTATGGGTATTACAGACTTCGAGGATATGAAGGTGGGTGCAACGCTACCAGCAATGTCGACGGCGTCGGCATATCCTTTGACAGGGTCGCGTTTTTGGAATTTATCTGATAATAACGTTACGTTTAATGTATCAGGAATGTATCCGATAGTCAGGTTGCATATTAGAAATGTATACAAGACATTATGTTAATTTAATTAGGTCGCGTAAAATGTTTGTTGCATGTTTATTATATTAAGAAGCTCAGAACACACGGACCTGAACATTTGATACGACAGCTCTATTTTTACCTAAACGGACGTGTTCAGAGGAATAATGGACATGTTAGGGGGTTATTAACTGCTATCATTAAGAGATGGTATCTTTACCAAGTTAATCTTAATCTTAAAAAAGGGACGGATTAAAAGGGTATGGGATGTGGAGGAGTCTTGGAAATTCAGTTAGGAGGTAGTGTTCCTGGATCCCCGCACCCCACCCCCAACATTCTCTGGTTTTGTATTAAAGCTATGCGCTATTATTTCGAATGTTTGTAATTAACAGTGTGCTGGAAGTTTGACATTTGTATATGGTTATGTACTAGCAGTTAGATTATTTTGTATACAGCTTTATACAAGCTGTTAATTATTTCTTGTATACATGTAGAAATAAAAATATTACCATAAAAAATATGTTTCAGCGTCTTACCAAACTGATACGGGACCTGATCGGAATCCCCAAACTACACTCGAAGCGCGATGTGGCCATGGGGTGTCCTAAGGTGGCCTACCTGGAGCTGAAACGGCGAACAGGCCACAAGATGGACAACACCACGTACAAGTCTTTCAAACACCAACACCGCCACTTCTTTTCCCCGCCTAACAAATGGTGATGAAACAAACGTATAATGAGATGCCCGGACCATAGTGATGTGTATTGTCCCTGTCATATATAGCTCTGTTTCTGGACATCCTATCCAAACTGGTTTCCGTTTCCATTAGACATACACACAAAGGTGAAGCTTACCAAAATTTGGCTGCAATTCCACTACACCAACACAAAAAGAGAAAACAATTCAAATATAATCTTTTCCACTAAACTGACGTACATTGGACAGCATATCCAAACTGGTTTCCATTTCCACCATACCTATATACAATGGGACTGTCTGTCAATTTGGTGTCTGTTCAACCAAACTGAAAAGCAATGAGTCAGCCTATCAAATCTGGTCTTTAGTGCCACTTAAACACACAACGGGACAGTGTATTAGATCTGATATGCGCAGGTCAAAGCCACCATTTTAAAAGTTTAAAAGATAAAAGATGTACAAATGTATTTTGTAATTTTGTGTTTAAAATAAACCTGCCGATATTTAACTCACTGCTGGTGGCCAGAAGATCCATATATTGTATGCTGGACCTAAACGCTGTCAGGTCTTACATTCCCTTGATACTATTTTGTATGTGGTTTCGTTGCACTCATGGTCCTGGGAAGGAAGTTGTGAAGAAAGAGGTCAAGATGTGCTGCTATCTGTTGGTAATTAAGGCTTCCTCTTCTACGTCTTGGGCTTGATAGCTTTCATATTTGGTTTAAGCTCGAGTCCACACAAACTACTCTAGATCTTGCTCTTCTTAATTCCCATTGGCCCCAGCCGAGTTTTTGTAGAATAACGCTCATACTGTTCGGCTCCCTTGATATGTTGTTCCCTACAGCATATTGCAGTCTGTATCTCCTCAATTTGTTCGATCTGCGCATGGATGCAAGGGTTGGGCGGATAAGCGTGATGTACACAATAACTTTGATATCGTAAGGACAGGCGTGTAGGTTCCTCCGGAGGAAGCCGATGGATTTTGATGCTATTTCTAACATGTTGTTTGCGTGTTCCCTCCGTGACAGGCATGAACAGATGCTGATTCTCAAAGTACTTGCTCGATTTTACTGTTTGCGGTTTATGTTGATAAACAGTCTTTCTTGTATGGCAACACACTTCTCAAGAATTGAACTTTATTTGACAGGTGTTCCCCCTTTTGTAGTTGTTTCATGTCGTTTTGGAGGCAGAGACAATATGGTGCATTCTTAACTGGTCTATATATCAAGCAATCGCTAGCAAATAGACGCACTTTAGAGTTTACAGATTCTGGCAAGTCGTTGATCGACAGAAGTAAAAGTAGTTGGTCAACCGCTTTTCTTCAACGGATCCCTGGTATACCATTAGCAGCTTCCGACTGGCTACCTTCATTAATCACTCATTGTTTTCTCGAACCTGACGTGGATGGGTTTTCTGTAGTTGTTTTAAATCTGGGTGCAGGGGCTAGTTCAACAGCTCATGTTCTTTCGAATTTCGATGGTATCAAATCTAGGCCAGATGCCATCTGTGGGCTGAGTTTTCTCGTTTGCATGCTAGGCATCGATAGTGAGTGCTTTCCACCCCTGGAGCTGGTACGATGGCGGTATCATCTCTAGTGAAGACCGACTGAACTGTTTGTTACGTATCTCAGATTCTGCTTTTGCTTCACTCTACTCTTGTCCGTATGCAACCCAAACTGAATCATGTCCTTTGTTCTTGATGTTTGATTATTGGGGGTTGTGATAGCATTCTGGGTTGATGATGTTGTCTATGAAATTCTTGTGTGCGTATCAGATCATCCGCTGTTTCCACCTTCGGTGATCTGCATCTCGTTCAGTCGCGTTCTCTTTGTTACTTTAGCCTTCTTGTTTGCACAGTCCTAGCGACGCACCATTCGTCTAATTTTGTAGTTGAATGCTTGTGTGGTACAATGTTCTGTCTTATGTCTATTTCCACCAAAGAGACACACTATCAGATCTGGTCTGCAATTACAATACACCTACACAAAATACCTACAGAAAACCCAACATATGAGAAATCTGTTTAAGTTCTGTACAAGTGGGAAATATGTCAGATCTATTCTTCATTACCATTTAACACACACGGAACTAGCCACTCCAGGCGCGTAGCTTGGCTCTTTTGGATGTTCATGCAGAAAGTCGCACCGAAGGTGCGAATCCGAGCGCCGTAGGCGCGAAGCCATTCTAGGGGGGGACGGGGGGGTGCGCCCCCCCCCCCCCCCCCCCCCCCGGGGATTTTCTTTTTAGATCTAGAAGCTCTGTCGTGCCATCTGGTAGCTTTTTAGATACATATTTGAGTGTTTTAATTTATTTGACAGAAAACATTTTTTGGTTGATTCATCATTTTATTATTGGAAAGCATCGCAAAAATTCAAATGTATTTCAAATGCGAAAGACAACTCTCTTTTTTTTCTCCGACAAAAATGTGTCGATTGTTGGAATTACCCGAAAATATCCGTTGCTCATATCTTTTTCCTGATGAATCTAAATTAACTAGATATTTAAAATGTCGGAGCCAATATAAACAAATTAATTTCAGATTTTTTGCCCTTGTGTCCCCCAAACCCTTTTTATATCATCAACATTTCTCAGAACATAAGATGGCGGTAGCTCCATATCGATGTTTAGATATATGTATAAATATATATCCAGTAGCTCTACTGAATATAGGCCTAGGACTACTCTGAAAAACAATATAAATAACTTAATTATTTCTGAGATTGTGACAATTATAATTTCCCTGCCGAGCAGAGCGAGGCGAATTCTTTTATCTGACGATGTAATACTAAACTTGTTCAAGCACTGTCAAACGTAGAAAGCTAGAATTTATCGGACATTATTTCCATTGTCAAACAGATCGAATAAGGCATAGCATAGTTTGCGGTATTATTCCAGGTTATATTTTATAACATAGAGTATTTATATTTTATGATGGCCGAGCGGAGCGAGTGTTAACAAATTCTCTGAAACAATGGTAAAAATGTAGGTTTTTGGTTAAAATGTTGATGTTTGTGTCATGTGCATGTAGTTTAGGCGAGGATTTTGGCAATTAAATATTGATTTAGTCTGTCATAAAAATGAATTATGATTTGACTGTTTGTCTTTTATTGTGAATTTGTATGCATGCATATGTACAAGGGCAACACCTGTTAAAAAGGATATATATACATGCCAGGCTTTTATGCTAACATTGGTTATTATTCACCTGATTAACGTTATGCTAAGGTGGATGCTTTACTGTCTTTGAAATGTTTGAAAGGTTATTTTATGTTTGTTATTTTGATACTAAATATGTCATATTGGTAGACATGAAGTAAGCGTAGTGATACTTTTAATTGGAGAAACATGCAAATTTTTCACAAAATTTTCAATAAAACTAACATTGTCAACTTCCCTTTATATAGTTACAATGGGAGTATATATTTTAAACTTCTTTAAAAACTTCCTATATAANTTGGAAATGAATTATGATAGTGTATAGCGTATAAAATTACTGTTATTTTGATACTAAATATGTCATATTGGTAGACATAAAGTGAGCGTAGTGATACTTTTAATTGGAGAAACATGCAAAATTTTCACAAAATTTTCAATAAAACAAACAATTGTCAACTTGCCTTTATGTAGTTACAATGGTAGTCTATATTTTAAACTTCTTTAAAAACTTCCTATATATGTATTCTGTCTACAGAATCATTTTTATGTAATATCAAAACCGGTAATGTACTTTTTTAGCATGCCAAACATGATCAATGCCCAATTTCACATAACCTTGAAGATTTGACTATCAATGTTTATTATGATAAATACCGATACATTTTCTGTTTTTGTATCATGCTTAAACTTTTTATTATGTTAGGCATGTTTTCAAGTTATGTGCAGCAGTAATAACTCATGAACATGTATTCTGTCATAGTAATCTTTCCTCTGGAGAACTACTTTAGGTTTGAGATTGTGTTATAGACAAAGCTATGCAATTATCTAAAAATAAATAAAATAATCTTAAATAACAAAACTAGTATACACTTTATTATACCCCCGCAACGAAGTTATGGGTGGGGGTGGGGGTATACTGGAATCAGCTTGTCTATCCGTCTATCTGTCAACTCATTCAAAAGTAGTGGACCAATTTCAACGAAAGTTTCCAGATATGATAAGTGACACCTGAAGTTGTGCATCCAGTTATTATTTTTTCATTCTGACCTTTTTCCCCTCAAAGTTATGGCCTTGTGTTGAAAATCCTTGTCCGGCTATGTCCTCCAAAACTAAGGGGTCAATTTCAACGAAAGTTTCCATATATGGTAACAACCATCTGATGGTGTGCATCCAGGATTTTTTTTTTCAATCTGACCATTTTTTACGGAGTAATGGCCCTTTGTTGAAAAACACTTGTACAGACAACTCCTCCAAACTATGGGGCCAATTTCAACGGAAGTTTACAGATATGGTAACTGCCCCCTGACATTGTGCATCCAAGAAGTATGTTTTCATTCCGACCCTTTAAAAAGGAGTTATGGCCTTTTCTTGAAAAAAACTTTCTTTGCCTCTTAAACGTCTGGGCCAATTTCATGTAAGCTTACAGATATGTTAATTACCCCCTGATGTTTTGCATCAGGGTAGTATTTGTTCATTTCGACCCTTTTAAGGAGTTATGGCCCTTTGTTAAAAATCTTTGTCTTGATAACTTTTCCTTAACTACAAGAACAATTTCAGCAAAAGTGGGTCATCTAGGCTAACAAGATGTGGTATGAAAGTATAATTTGGCATAGGGAAGGAGTACAATAAGTATGTCAGTGACATATATACATACATAATTACTGGTGGGAGACTATGGATTAATTTGCAATGCTTTGCCTTAGTTAGCCTTTAGATTACAGTTCTGGTTTATATTGGAGCGGAGGTTTTAGTTAATCTTTGACTTACAGTTCTAGTTATTATTTTTGTAGGCTTTTGACCATTCATTAAACAAAATATGAATGGGTATTACACTATTTTATATCGTTAACTCTAAACAAATAAAGCAAGGAAAGATACCCTTGTCTGACTCTCCATACAAAAAAAATAATTTCAGCACATTTGGTTTTTGTGACGTTGAACAAAGGTCAAGGTCATCAAAATTAACAACACTTAAACTCATTTACATGAACAACCTTCTTACCAAATATCAACACCCAATGACCTTCAGTCATGAAGAAACACAGGTTAAAGGAAATGTGGAAAGAAAGCTATGCTTTTCTTTGTTTTAACCAAAAGTCGTATACGACAAATTTACCGGTTTTCATTTTTTTTGAAATTCCTGATGTTGAAAGATATCATTGGTAGCCAACTTTTTAACAAGTTAGAAAAATAGACTAGTTTTAGAACTATATGAATTAACGTGTCAAAAATGGAAAATTTCTCACATTTTTCTGCTTAATTCTTAAATAAAAAGAACACTTCTTTATTAAAATAGTGTAATATTCGGTATCAAAATAACAGTTGAAATACGTTGCACACGTTGATGATATAATTTTATAGTAATTGTGCCATTTAAAAACTCTAGGAGGAATCGTATTACTGCACCTTTAACACCCACACAGGTGTAAGTCAAGGAGGTCCCATTTATCATCAAATGAATTATGAAACTAACTGTTCCTGATTTAAGCTTCCTATACCCAAACCTTTTTAGATTTATCTTGTTTTGGAATTCCAACTGGGGGCCGACGCTAATGTTAAATCTCTATAGGCGTTGACCCTACATGTTTTAACAGGTTTAATAAATCACTCCTGGTGATCATGTGTACATGAAACCACTCTACCTTTGAAATAACAAGTAACATATATACCTAATTCCAACAGTTGGTTTTATCCTCTCTCCACGAACAGGGTGATCACCACATCGTGACATTAGGACAATACAATTAGGTAGACAGTCCGTTGAGCCTTCACCACTGACCTGACTGGAGACCCTACAAATATATAAACAAAAGAGGATTAATCCCCTATTGTTTAGAGTATAAGTAGTGGACTCCTTGTTTGGGCAACTGCACCCTTAGGCATATATAGATATTCAAACTGCTGCTTGCCATAGAAAATCATAGTTCACATGATGGTTGATAGTAGAAGAAAATCCCATCTGAAAAGGAGAAAAATCTTCAAAAACCCAAGTCCAGATTATTTTTGGACACAGAAAAAAGGGTGTTGCAACCCCTTGATCCGCCACCGAGACTGATCAGAACTGTGTTTGGCCCGGCATTACTAGGCCCTAATACTAATAGCCGTTTTAGACTCGTCGATGCCTAAGTTAATGTCGCAAGAGGATGTTGTTTCATGTGAACCTACAGCTGCTTGGAAGATGTCATGTATCAACTTGTTCTTCGAAGATGATGCGGGTTTTTCGTTGGATTTGCAGCCATGCATGTTTCCGATGTTGACACCTTTAAAAATACTAATAATAAAATAGGCACCAGGTACCCTAGGTTGGAACTTCCGGATACGTAATGATTGTCGGCTGTCGGTTAACAATCTTATTCCGTGGTTATTTTTTTTTTTCCAATTGAACCACACATCATTTAATCACTTTTCCGAACTACAAAATAAATAAATAAATAAAAATATAATAGTATATTTGAATTTNTAGCTGACTATAGGGCAACTATAGTGACTAGGGCTAGCCGCGACTAGGTAGTCAAGTTGTGTGCTGCCTGGATTGTGCGGTAGTGTGTTATATTGATACAAAGCAGATAGCTATGGTATTAGTTCTATAGTCGTGCAGTAATTATTCTGTTCATATCATGTATTAAGCATTAGGTAATAGGTATGCTGGTTACAAGATAGTAACACATATTTGTATATATTTGCAACTGTAGTATAGTTATAATTAAGCGTACAGCACAGGGATCCTTAGAAGTGACTAGGGTACGGACCCCGGAGCGTTACACTATCGTTGCCACTATGTCTAGCCTTTCGGCTGTGTTGTCGGCTATTACAACAAATCACATTTCGTAAAGCACGTTCCAGCAGAGACGTATTATACGTCTCTGGTTCCAGTGAAAAATAATGCTAATATCGACACTTTTTGACACATTTGTTATTTTTTGCCATACAAATTAGTACAACATATCAAAAAATTATTCAACTTTCTATCGCTGTAAATTTCAAAAAGAAGTATTTTTTAAATGAGCTGATCCTCGAATTCAGGCGATATTTTTTTTAACAACACGTGTCCTTTGTTACCAGACGAGTAATTTCATCTGTGACATCGCTATCGTTCCAAATAATACAAATCAAAACAGGCCTACTTAACATAGAAATTACTCGGCTGTTTATTGATATTAATTGTTTTAAAAATACAAACGATAGTTTCTAAAATTAATCAAAACAGTGAGCAGTTACCAACTACTTTCGCAATGATTTGCGTTCCAGTGAAAAATATTGCTGATATTTACACTTTTTGTCACAAAAATAACACAAGTTAAATTATATTATTTGCAATTAAAATGGGTTGGGTCGTTATAAAAATTCTTCAGTTTTCTATTGCTGCCAATTTAAAAAAGATCGGTCAAATACTTTTGTAGTGAGATGGTTCACATACATGTGTTTTTTTTATCCCGCATTTTTGTCTATCGACGCTCACCACAATACTCTGAACCACGCGTTACATCGCGTTTAAAAAAACGAGACATCAATTACTATGATACCACAGATTTATCAATTAAAAGTAATACAATCAGCTTATAACGATGGGATAAACAAAAGACGTAAGAAGACTTATCGAGATTGGTTTGTTTTCACACCAACTTCTACATCTAACGAAGCGGTATCGACGCCATTTTGCTTTGTCAAAATTGAGATAGGTGGCGCTCGCTATCTGCTCCGGAATCAGGGGGAGGTAAGTCTAGATTGACGTGTCATAAAATTGGTAAGGCAAAGAGGGAGTTGCTAATCCACTTCACTATACGTCCCTGGTGCATGCAACTGCTTATTTGCTTACGTGGCAGCCTACGCGCCTGCTCTCAACTGGCCTCCATTTACATCAGATCTACACAGCAGCGAAGCATAAGTAATCTGGTCTCCATTTTCACCAAACTGACGAAATGGGACAGCCTAACAAATCAGTTGTCTATTCATATCAAACAAGTACAATTTATGAAGAAATCTCAAAAATATATTGTCAGTTATCTCCCTTGGACTGCTAATGAATTAAGTTCTTCCTTTTCATGGAGTTTCAGAGGCTCACGAAATTGACAGCTTTCAATCACTACTAAAAGATGACCAATCAGTATCCTTGACCTTCTGATAGTTGGATGGACCTGCTCCATCAGTCTCTGCAACTGGAGATTCATAGGGTAGGTCCATCAAGCTGTCAAGGGTATTGATTGGTCAGCAGTTTCTCTCTTCTCCTGCCCTCTGGTGGGGTGTTTGGTACAAGAAGGATTCATAGTCTTGAAGCAGTGTTGATTGACAGCTCTAGTAATTGGACATCCAGTGACCAAGCAACACCTAAGCCTTATGCCTTCCTCATCGGGTCGCTTTTATCTATGAGGTGCAAGGTTTGGTTTATTTGGTTTTATTTTGTTTAACGTCCTATTAACAGTAAAAGTTATTTAAGGACGTGCCTCCTTGTGTGTTGTGTAAGCGAGCATGTATGTATGTGAGAGGGAGACAGGGTATGTTGGTGTACTTACCTCCTTGTGATAGCACGAATATGATGCCGACTTTATAGTGCTATCTCACTGAAATGCCATGCCGAAGGTACCCAGCACATCATTCCGCCCGGTCACATTATACTGACGAGTGAACATGTTGTTGGCATTTCCCTTAACGCTGAACATTAAGCAGGGAATAACAAATACCATTTTTAAGGACTTCGTAAGGAGGACTGAAAACACCATTACGCAAGTTAAAAGAGTCCACTACAAGTGATACTGCCTGCCTCACTGTCATACTCCCTCAATAAAGCAGAAATTATTGATTGATCAAAATTGGTAATATATATTTTAAAATATGTTTATACTTGCATGAACCAGAGAAATTGAGCCCCCTACCCTCTGCAATTACTCATCTTAAAAAACCTTGAACTATTACCCCAAATTAAATATTTTTTTAACTTATTGGGGTGATTAACACTTACGATTTTATTTTTTTTATCTTTAAATGTTAAGTACGGACATACCCTCAATCCACACTGATTCAAACTACCTTCATATTAAGGAGGAGCATATTAAATGTCAAAACACAGACTCATGAGATGAAGTTAACATTCTAAATATCATTGCATCTTGGCATTATATTAAGTTCCATTGCTTTTCAGACCAAGTCATAGAAATAAAAACAAGACAGGATTAAATAGTAGCTTTTTGGTTTTATTTTATAATAAATAATATATCAATTGAGAAAGGATTTGTTCTTATGCAACTAAGTCATTACATTAATGTACTGTTAATAAGCTGAATTAGTAAAAATCTAAGCACAATGAATATAGAATATATTGCATTTGTTAATGTTGGCCATTTACATTGTTCCCAAGACAAAACAACATCAGAACCTGCCGTTTTTTGGAATCGTACACCACCCGTCTGCTGTACTTCACTATACCCCACACTACGTACACTGTATGTGTAACTGTGCACCACATACAATGTGTTTGTACACCACAGATAGAGCAGTTACACACTGTATTCTATAGCTTGTCCATGTAACGTTTGTAATGGAGTTATAATTTTACAGTTTGATTGACCTGGTCTGTCCTGAACACAGAAAAGTTATCTCAAATAATTGCATCAGGTTCCTAAAGTGTATAAAATTAAAAATAACAAACCGAATAAGTTCGGATTTTTAAAAATGAATTTGAAATGTTTTGAAAGAACTTTTGGTTATGGGTCATGCTATTACAGTAAGTAAGTATACACCACAACAAAAGATAACATCTTCAATCATGATGTTGATACCCTTACAAATATATCTGAAAAAATCGTTTTGGTAAATGAAGTTTTAACAGGTCTCTGATGTGGTTTTCTGGTAAATGACCACCGAGGCTCTGGTCATTAAGTCAACACTTTTTTAGTCCAGACAGGCCATACAAAAGTTCAATACAGGAACTGGAATTCATTTAGCAGGGACTGTATCAAAGTTCCTTCGTTAGGCATTGGACGCATCACGAAATACTGTTATTCCCAACCGATAAGGTGAGAAATGACGAAATGTGTGGTTAGACTCGACATCCAGCCACAGCCGTGTGTACTATCTCTGTAAATATTGGCTCACTAACACTGGACATCTTATAACAATTATTATAGATATATATGTATACATATTACCCAACTTTAACTCTGGAACGAGACTTACACTGAAGCAAAACATATCACAGTCATTATTCACTAACATACAAACATCCAGGCGACTGGGGTGGTGTCCCCACGAACACTAACAGAGCTAGAACCCCACTGTTCTTCACTTGATGTTATATTTGTATCCTGTCTCTATAACCATCCTCCTTTGATCAGTACAGATACATTTTGGATAACAATATTCATGCAGTTGAAGCATTCTATTTCAAAACAATATCGTAAAAATCTGCCATTTTACATAGATATACGCCAAACATTTTTTTTTTTTTAAAAATAAAATAGCAAAAAATCTCAGATTTTATCTCCTAGTGTCAATTTGTCCTTATGTGTGGGATCATTGGAGTTATCTCCCTTCCCAAACAAGTTGAACTATTATGTATGCCTGGTTCAATATTTGGAGACTGATCTGCAAGTTTTACAACAAAGTTACAAGGAAATATAGACAGACATGAACGTTTCTGTTGTTATGGGAACTATCAGTTTTGATTTGTATGTACCAATATTCCACTTATTCAGGCCGAGTTTCTCTATATCCTACACTACTTGTAAGGTATTAGTTATTTGTTCCTACACTAAGCTTGGTGGGTTAGTTTGACATGGAGAAAGCCAATATCAATAACATTCCCAATCTATTGAACTTTTTTACAGGATGAAATACAAAAACTGGACATGATGAGGTTACAGATTTACTGAACAACTTGGCACTTAGAGGGGATAGTGTATCCTAGGCACTATATCGTATTTTAACTGCTGAAGGAAGTCTTGTAGTCGTACACAAGGCAATGTAGTACAAATCCATAGCATCACATACATCACATATTGATACTTACAAACAACAAGTTAGACATTTATGTATATATAGTATTTCAAACATGACACCGATGGTTAACAACGTATATTATAACTCAACTCTTACCCAAACGAGGGGTATTGGATTACCAGATCAAATTTCATTTCAGATAGAATTGTTAAACCATATATATTTTTTTAACAATGAATAATTATCACAAAGCAAAGAAAGTATTGAAACTAACAATTTTTCAATATAAATCTTAAAATATCTTTTCAGCAATATTTTGAGATTCCTCTAGAATGATTGGAGTTTACAAACTAAAAATGAATGAAGCTTAGACACAGAAATGACTTGCTTGTGTGTCATATTTAACTAGGTTTATAAACAGGTTTACTTAGCGCCTACACCTGTGGGTTTGTTTAGTACTGACTAGCATCTGATGTGGCACGATACAATGGATGGGGCAACTCATTCACGTCAGACACACGTTTACAGCTCTAAGCATTAAAAGCACTCTCCTCAATGGAAATCATATCACAGAAAACGGTACAACACACAGTACCTATATAGTACAAGTCTGGGGACATGTACATATAACTCATGAATATTCATAACATGTACAAATAACAATGCATAAGTATTCAGTCAACACTGAATATTCATGACTGATGAATGTTCACTATTACATAGAATATTCACTGACATAAACATTAATTTATATAAACAAATGGAAGTTAAAACTAATGCCAAATCATGCCTAGCATGATCCAATATTCAGTTGGACAGTTTGAGCTTTTAAGCACTAACCCTCACTCTAATGAACACATGCCCTTATAAGGCGGTGACATAAACATTAACCTACATGGAAGCCTGGGAGCTTTTGGTCTTGTTACAGAGATCATTAACAAAGTGTGATGTATCACTGGTAAAACAACAGTTGAGCTGGTTTACTGATGTCAGTATTCAACTGACACATTTAGACAGACCCAGACTGATAAAATATCACACATATGGCAGTTTGTGTTAAAACAGTTTGTACCACACACTGTTCACTCACTTACCCAGAAAATTGGTTTACATTAAATTCATATGACACTGTAGTATCTTAATTGTCCAATCAAAACAATTCTTCTTGGATGTAATTTCGAAAGATTCAGCTGTAATTAATAAACAATCTCTAAAGATTAGTTTGAAGAATTTTAATGAGAATTTACTGAATATACTCGAAATAATACTCATATTCTTTGAATGGACAAAAGATCCTATTTGGAATCTTTCTCTTGACAAATGAGTCTGAGAATTCCTGTGATATTATGGTAGGTTAGAGTATTTCTAGTGAGAATTTGATTAGCTAGAAGAATTCCTCTGGGACACCAAGCTCCTCACAGTCAGACTCGATGGATTCATCCCCGTCACGGAACTTCCAAGCCTCTTCAGGAGTGGATATGGGTTGGAAGCCTGCCAGCTCCCCTCTGATTCTTTCTATCTCCTGGAGGTACTCCTGTTTCTCCTGACCTGTCATCCTCGGTGTGTCGGAGTCAGACTCCTCATCCGGAAACAATACCTTGTTCATCACTGTAAAAACAAACATTCACCGTCAAGTCTCACAAATGATCCATAAAATGAATCAACAACAAAATAAAAGATATTTTCATGAAATGAAATTAAGAAAGGCAAAAAATACAGACATATATCTTTTGTTATGAGAAACTTTAAGACCCAAACCTACGGTATATCACCCTAATGAGAACTAAAAGCTGACTATAATTCTTAATCAAGAGGAAGTTAAAATTCCCAACCGCATCTCAAAGAGGAACTTAAAACAAAAACTGAGTAAACCGTATAATTTGTTAAAAACGAACTTTAAGTTGAAAATTTTGCAGCAATGAAGCAGTAATAAGGCTTTATTCACTGGTGATATTTTATCTTAAAATGCGAAAATATTTTGTTCCTTGTGAAAGCTCATTTACTCAATGTGGTTTAGGATAGACGATTATTCACAATACAGGCAGAACAACAGCTTGTCAGGCTAAACAACTTTGTCTAGCAATAATTGGCCTCTCAAGCCTGCTGGTAACTCCTAACAGGTTCAATATAAATGACTTGCCCTAGTTTAGATTTGTAATGTTATAGACCTGTATATTAAAAGTGTTTCTGTATTACCAAGTTACTGTACTCACCATGAACATGGTGTTCTATCTTCCTGAGGTTGTTAAGGATGCCAGCCAGTTCCTGATTGGCCGAGTTCCAGCCAGGCATGTCCCCTGACACATTGCTGGCCTGGTCCAACATCTCATCCATAGGGGAGACTGCTGTACCATTCTCAATCCTCTCGTGGTCCCTGTAGGTACAGACATTATATAAGTAATCAAGTCTAACATACTTCTGTATATTTTTCAAATTTTATATTCTAATCTTGTTGTCTTTTTCAGATTCCTGAACTTACTGAATGCCATTAAGAAAAAATGGTCAATGCAATAGTACAAATGAATAACAATGTATTATAAGCACATAGTTTGGATCAATTATTCCCTTTACAGTAGCTTTATCTACCATATAATTTTTACCCTATCAAATGTTCACCTTTTATGGGCCTTTACAGGTAAAACCAACCTCAGTGTGTGTTACCTTTGACCTTCACAGTTGAAGTATGCCAGGAACTTATATATAAAGTAATTTACATTTTCTTTCAATACAGAGGTAAAAATGGTGAAATCTAAAAAGTGTGAATATTTCTCTGTATACAGTATGGTATATATTTGACTAGAAAACAGCTTTTGGCACATCATCTTCAAATGGCAATAACTAGGTGTGACATATAATCCAACTCTACTTCACAGTTTATTTCCTTGGCACAATGGCAAACTAAGGAATGCAAACCAGAGACTTTATTTTCTCTACACAAACTGTAAGTGTCTTTGTGATCATGAGGTAATCTAGTTTTCTTTACCACACTTCAATAATAATGACAATGCTTCAACTGGACTTTGAACCCCAACGAGACTTACTTGAGTTTTTTCAGTGACTTGTCGGTTGATGATTTGAGCTTGAGTGACAATTGAAAAATGGAGGACACCAGGATGTTGTCATAAGACTACAAAAGACAAATATTCATACATTAATACAATACATTAACTACTACAAATGATGGTATATGAAGTGGAGGTTCCACCTCATATTAAGTGATTCAAACATATTAGAAGTCTGAGGAAAAACACGGTTTCAAACATGAGATGATATAAAACATGTGATTGTGTAATCTGGTGTACCAACACAATAACATTAAACACGGAGATCTTTGTGATGTAGGCTACAGGACTGTTATACAGAGGTGGATCCTTATTGTAACAATTACTAACGTCTATATAACATTAAACACAGATCTTTGTGATGTAGGCTACAGGACTATTATACAGAGGCGGATCCTTATTGTAACAATTACTAACATCTACATACCATTAAACACCGAGATCTTTGTGATGTAGGCTATAGGACTATTATACAGAGGTGGATCCTTATTGAAACAATTACTAACATCTATATAACATTAAACACGGAGATCTTTGTGATGTAGGCTACAGTACTGTTATACAGAGGTGGATCCTTATTGTAAAAATTACTAACGTCTATATAACATTAAACACCGAGATCTTTGTGATGTAGGCTATAGGACTATTATACAGAGGTGGATCCTTATTGAAACAATTACTAACATCTATATAACATTAAACACCTAGATCTTTGTGATGTAGGCTACAGGACTATTATACAGAGGCGGATCCTTATTGTAACAATTACTAACATCTACATACCATTAAACACCGAGATCTTTGTGATGTAGGCTATAGGACTATTATACAGAGGTGGATCCTTATTGTAACAATTACTAACATCCATATAACATTAAACACTGAGATCTTTGTGATATAGGCTACAGGTCTATTATACAGAGGTGGATCCTTATTGCAACAATTACTAACGTCTATATAACATTAAACACAGATCTTTGTGATGTAGGCTACAGGACTATTATACGGAGGTGGATTCTTATTGTAACAATTACTAACATCTATATAACATTAAACACTGAGATCTTTGTGATATAGGCTACAGGTCTATTATACAGAGGTGGATCCTTATTGCAACAATTACTAACGTCTATATAACATTAAACACGGAGATCTTTGTGATGTAGGCTACAGTACTGTTATACAGAGGTGGATCCTTATTGTAAAAATTACTAACGTCTATATAACATTAAACACCGAGATCTTTGTGCTGTAGGCTACAGGACTATTATACAGAGGTGGATCCTTATTGAAACAATTACTAACATCTATATAACATTAAACACTGAGATCTTTGTGATGTAGGCTACAGGACTGTTATACAGAGGTGGATCCTTATTGTAACAATTACTAACATCTACATAACATTAAACACCGAGATCTTTGTGATGTAGGCTATAGGACTATTATACAGAGGTGGATCCTTATTGAAACAATTACTAACATCTATATAACATTAAACACCTAGATCTTTGTGATGTAGGCTACAGGACTATTATACAGAGGGGGATCCTTATTGTAACAATTACTAACGTCTATATAACATTAAACACAGATCTTTGTGATGTAGGCTACAGGACTATTATACAAAGGTGGATCCTTATTGTAACAATTACTAACATCTATATAACATGGTCATTTCTGGAATGTGTACTGGTAAAACATTGCACATAGTTTCACACAAGGATTCCAGGGACAATATTGTTGATACTGCATTTAAACTTTCTTGTAAATGTAGAATTAGGTGAGTTAACAACTGAAGATGACATTTCATAATTCCTACAGAAGCTAAAGCTGGCCTGTTATTTTTACCTGTTTTATATAAAATATAAAATTATGTATTATGATTTATTAGTCTGTCACATCTTCTGATCGTCTGCTTTTCATAAAATATATTTGTATATGTCTAAAAGCGAGGTTACCACTGCCAAACTGTACTATTTTCTACAAAAGCAGAGCTTGTGAAGTTCATATATTTTTCCCAAACTTGATATACTTTTATAACTAAGGAAATTTTTGGTAGATGGGAGGAGTAAGGCTTCTAGCAATGTGGCCAGATTTGATGGAAAGTTGTAGTCCATATGCTATTTTGCAACTGACTACAGGAAATAAATGCAGAAATATATATCAATATAAGAGGAAACTGTGAACGAGAGTGAGCTAATGAGGTCCACTTGAGTAATAGCAAAGAACAGGAAGTAAGTTCTCTCTATACATACTATTTCTTTACACGAATGTAAAGATGTACTGCAAAATTTATTTATAACCCATCTGACAGCATAAAAGGAATGATCAAGAATATTTAGATGAGACAAAAGCTTCAAATGATCAAGAAAATATATAAAAGTACATGAAGTGATATTTTATAAATGCTGCTTTACAATCAAAAATAATTTGGGGGTAGATCAAACGCTATGCAACGCCTGTCCACATAGCCATATTCACCAAAACTCTAACTAGGCACCAAGTGTTCAAGCTTTAGCATGCCAGGAATCTCAAAATGCAATGGCACATGAATGGCGATAAACCCGTAGGTACATTTCCTCCCTGAACAGCCAAGGATAACGGGACTAAATTGAAAATCATGAGCTCAACATTCATTGTAACCATCCTTCACCCAAACATTGTGACAAGCATTCACCTGCAAAATAGCGTAACCAACATTCAGGGGAGACAACCAATTCAACCTCAGATCATTATCATCATTAGACCACCAAGACGTTAGTATGTTAGAACTGTAAGGGAAACATGATGCAGGAGAAAGATATCATAATACAATATTATCTTAAAGGGGTGCTCGTCTGGAGTCACACAAGCTGAATAGGGAGTATGAAAGTTGGTATTTGTCATGATTCAATCAACTTATTAACTTTGTACATTTGTATTAGATGTACAAGAGTGTAAGATTCTGTTTATCATAACTTAGTAGATTATGCTTGATTTTCATTCAGAATTAGAGTTTCTACTTCTGTTTTTGCTGACATCACTAAATTTGTTATACACGATATTATAATGTATGATGTCATAATCAAAGCTCAGCTGGTCTAGCCAATCAGAATGTCAGAATGTTTGGTCAATCAGAACACAACAGCCAGTGTGACCAATCAGATTGTTAAACAGAATTTTACACTCAATGTTTCAAACTACTAAATACAAGTGATTATGAAGTCAGTTTTTCTCTTGGGATAAAATAGCATACAATGGTGGCGACAAGCTGTAAGCTGAGTTGGACAGATGATAATAACAATGATATTAGATAGCATGCAGGATAACAATAATGTATATCATCAGATGAACAGAATGCAAGCAGGAAGTGTGGTCACCTTAAACCAGAGAGGGGCTATGGGGTCCAGAGTTAGGCAGCTGGTAACAACAGGGGTTAGTAGGCATTGCCACGGACTAACATAAAAAGTAGGGCAACCAACCTGGACGACAGGTAGTGTGGGTTCAGAGTATTTCCTGGAAGGGGCTGTGTGATTGTATGGGCGGGGTTTAAATAGGGACAGAGGTAGGGGTGACGGTGAGGAGGAGGGAGACATCAGTTTAGGGGGTGGTGGGGTGAAGGCCGACATGTACGGCACACTGCCCAGCAAACACCGACTCAGGTCCTACAACAAATGGCACACAACATTACACACATTTTGCAACATATATGATCACACAGTGAGTTGATGAGTGTAGCAAACAAAAGTTCAACATGCAAAGGTTCATCAGACAAAGGCAACAAAGCTGGTGTACGTGTTGCATATTTAAGGGAAGCATTAACCAGGATTTATTTTTCGGAAAGTTAATGCACAGAGCCTTGTAGACAAACATGCATTGTCAAGCAAAACTGGAGTGACACGTATGCAGCCCTTTTACTGTTACTGTGGTAGGTAATCTACCAGGGGAAATGTGGGCCATGGCTACTGGTAGATTTACTCACCACTTTTAGATATGCCCAGCTTGGTTTTGTTACAGACCATTTGTCCCCACATTCAATGGAAACAGTGAATTTCACAAATATAACTGACGTTAACTCACATGTTTTTCATTTGAAAAACAATTAACATTTCATGTGAGGACAAATCGCCCACCTAGTAGGACCATTTTTGAAGTTACTACTACCGCCACCTTGTTGACCCAGGAATGTGGGTGTGTTGGAGTACCTACCTGTGAAGACTTCACCATCATGTTCATCTCCTCATCCTCAGAGCTCTGGTAAAGACGACTTGACTGTGACCTCCCGGAGTAGGGAATAAATCCGCGTTGGGAACTTGGGTCCACAAATGAATGGTCAACCTCACTGTTTGTACAAGTGCTAATTTCATCGGTACTTGACAATGATGAGTTATCTCTCCTATATCTCCTCAGTTCAGCTGTGTTAGTAAATGAAGCAGAACGGGTCATTTTGGAATTTTTAGATGCAAGAATCCGTATTTCATCGCCTTTAGATTTTTTGCCTTGTGATTTTGCCTTAGCAGCAGTTGCAACTGACTTTCTAGGGTCATATTCCTTCCTGCGCCTCCAAGCTTCTTTCTCTGCTGACTTGGGTGAGTTGGTGCGACTATTACTGGTCTGAGTGTTGGTGCTGCTCCTACTAGAACTACTCACCCCAGTCACAGACAAGCCTGTCGTCCCATAAGTTGAGTTTTTTAACCTGGCTTTGATTGATTTTATATCAGTCTTGCGTATATCAGTTCCCAAAGTAGACACTGGATCAGTGCTAGAGTTAGCCCTATTGAGTCGTAAACTGTGTCTACCTCCATCTCTTCGCAATAAGTCGCTGGTAGAGCGTGTGGTATTGTTACGACTCCGCGCCACAATTTGTCCACCGAGACTCAGATCACTGCGAGCGGAATCATTTGTCCTGTCTGAATATAAACGTGACTTTGAAGAAGGTCGCGAGGAGTTGGTCGTAGACGTAGTTCCCCTTGATGATGTGTCCGACACTGAGCTTACTGTTGATCCAGGTGTGGTGGGTTCATCAGCTTCAGCTCGAGCACGTCGTAACTCGAATGCCCTATTAGGGCGTGTCATTGTCATTTTGCCCTTGCCTTTGGAGTTGGACCTGCTAAAGCTGTCCTCAGTGGGTTCAATTTCTGTGGGGGTTTCACTGAGTACATCAGATACTACAGTTGACACATCCCCAGAACTGTGGCGTTTATTACACACTCTAAACGCATTCAGCCTGGCAGTAGCAGAATTAGTCCTAATAAGAGAAGGCTTGTTCTTCACTTGTCCTGTTGTTGGCCGTGTCTTGGCCAAATTTTGTCTGGGACTACTGAAGTTTGTTGGTTTTACATATTGGTCATCTCCATTCACCATAGCAACCATACTCTCATTATCTGAAAAGGAATCGTTAGCCCCGTTCATTTGTGGGGGTTCTTTGGGTTTGTTGCTTGACTTTGAGCCCATTCGTGCCTCCATGGCAGCCATCACAGTTTCTGTGTCACGCAGGAGAAGTTCTGTATCCATACTGCCAGTACTACGTGCTGACCGTGAACTATGTGTTGTCCTATCACTCTCTATGGACACTGACCTTGAACTTCTGCTAGGTCGGTCAGTGTCCATATCTGACCTTGTCACACTAGTGAGAGCACTCGTAGCCACACTTTCTGTGTCGCTGCTGAACTTTGTCCGTGACACTGATTCAGTGTCTGTGTCATCATATTTTGACACCACTTGACTAGAGATCGTAACCGCCTTCGGTCTGCCATTTTCCAAGAAGACACCATCACTATGGCGGGGGGTCAGTATGCTAGGACTTCCTGTAGTCTCGCTAACCCTTGAACTGTGTTCACTGCTGGAAGGACTAGTCTTACTCGACTCTCCTGGAATGCTGGGAAGTTTTCGTCCTGTCCCCCTACGTCTCAGACCATGGGCTGACTTCTTGAAAGTTTTCTCATCTGGAGAAAATAATTTAGATAATCAGTAAAAAGGATAATATTTACATAAGGTGGTGGTGAAGAGGTTAATGAGTTACACTTAAATAGTGGGGTGTTACGGCAAATTTACTCTTCAAAAGTTATCTAGAACATTTCCATTAAATTAATACATTGTATAAAACAATATTTCTCGACTGAAAAATTCATCTTATAGATCTTCTGATGGCTTTGCGCTTTTTCACAGGTTTAAGCGACACCCTTATCTGTTATATCCTATTTACACTTGTACCTTTTTCTGAGGTGTGGCTGTGAATCGAGCTAGGACTTGAGGCATCCATGTTGGATGACCTAGACCGGGACTTTTGATTGGTCAATGCAGCCCACTGTGTTACCCATGCTGGAGCGTCACTTGGCAGTGAGGTGCTGGGGTTCTCCTGAAATTATAGACATCACACATCATCACCAAAATAATCAATAGGAGATCTAGAGTTCCTATAGCCAGTGTACAATATAACTATGCCCGTTGTCAGTTTCATACACCAGTATTTTAATAGATTTCTGTTGGTATTATTTGAAATAATTGTGTTTTTTAGAACATTGTTTACTGAAAACAAATTGTAACCAGTACAGTTTCGTACCATTTTTAAATATGAATTTGTAAGATACCTTTATACTGATATATACATTAGAACCTATTTACAATGAATCTCAGCCAGCTCAAAAATTGTATCTGCTGCAGCCGATAGTTGTTGTAACACATTATATAGTACACACCAGTGGAGAGGGTGATACTAAACAAACATCAGAGGTTGCCCATAAACACAGACCAATCGTTGAGTGTTTATTGTAATTGTGTTTCACTTTTCACATAGTTTAATGGTAACTATAACACTTTAGCCAGAAATTGAACCTGGATCTACCTATCGACAGTCCAATATGTCCCGCTAACCAAGTCATAGCACACAACTAGATATGTTACCACGGTCACAGTATTACCAGTAACCTTCATACACACATACCTGTATATAATATACATTTTATTAGATTGTATCATTAAATATAGTATCATTAAATATAGAAATCGTGTTGTGTCAGGTCTGCCGCAGTGAAAATGTCTCATTATGAAGTCATGCAGTAAGTGTATGTCCTGTAGGAAGATTAATGTAGTCAGGGATTATACTGGGAGCAGAAAACATTGTAAATTTGGAAATGTTCCCATATGAATAGACATGGGAATGAGAAATATTTGTTATCTAGGTCAGAGTGACAGTTTAGTCACACAGGTAACTTATTTACAGGAGTCCTGCACGGAAAAGTAAATACTTAACTACAATAAATATGTATTGTTGGAATGGAACACCAATAATATGCCCAAGTCAGTCCAATTAACATTTATAGGTGACAATCAGCTGACACACCACATACCTATATATATATATATCATGTCACGACAGGTCACAGGGGAGCTCATTACAGGACTGTAATAATGTGAAGACTAATTACAGGGGACTGGTTATATATAGAGGACTGGTTATAGTATGTGTGCTAGGGGTCGGATGGGATAGGGAGCAGCTAGTAAAAAGTATATAAATGTCAGGACAGGTTACAAGGGGGTCGGCTGGTTATAGAATTATAGTAATGTTAAAACTAGTCACAGGGACGGTTTACAGTGTATGTCAGGACAAGGTGCAGGGGATATATATGCGATATTCTCAAACAAAAAAGTGAAAAATTGGTCTCAGATATGTATTTACCAGATAATGTTGATATTATGAGGGAGCGAACTAAAATTGAATTTTCTGTGTCCTTTGGCAGTAGTTTTTTCAATTTTAACACAATGTTTGGAGAGAATTTCAATAAAGTAATAATCCCATAACCAGATGTCCTGTCCAGATATAAAAGGATTCCTCCCACTTATATCCTGCATTCCTTGAGCTTGAGCGTCAATATTAACACTATGTGTGTATTGGGGCGACACTATCTATGGTAGAGCTGGGGGCCTCATGGTGTCTCCAAACCTTTACTAACTAGTCACGTAGAACAGGTCCACAGTCCAATTAAGATCTTATCACCAAATTTGTAGGTTTATTACATGTTATGATAAATCCTACAGGCATAATACCCTGCCACCTGAAATCCAAAACAATCCTTAGATATGTATAAGCTAGGCCACCTCGGATCAATCAGGACAGATTTCAAAGGGCGATCAACCTTTGTATGGTCATCAAGTGTAATTCACCTAACTCAATTAACATTCTGGCTTCTTAAACATATTTTATTTTTTAATTTGGAAACATCCTCAATAACATCTTGAGGTTTTTAGAGAGGAGATATAAATAGTGAATCTTAATTAAACATGCCCTCCCACTGAAACACAAATTATTCTCTAACCTCCTCCCCCTCCTCCCTATGCTGACGAATTTATTGAAATCTTTGTCACATTTCATGTATCTCAGTTAAGAATCGATGGTAACTGTTTAGCTTACTTTTTCTCTTCTGTCACACACCACATTTACTTTTGACTCTATGCATCACCTCACCCTACAGAAACATACAATATCATATATACCATCACACTATAGAAACCTATCATATATGTACCGACATGGATAGATGGTTACATACCAAAATGTATTACTCACCAACGAGTCTCGACCCAATACATACTATCACAAGGGAGACAGCCAATGACAGACAATATGAATGGGGCAGATCAGTCAACACCTAACTTTTAATTACTTTTGTGTGAGTAATGTGAACAATAAACACTTCAAGACACCCAGGAAATGTCAATCCAAAGTAATTACACCTGAAACAGGGAAAGGAGAAAATATAACCGTCAGACTAGAATTTGAACCAAACAGCTCCAAACTTAAAGACGACAATCGAGTCAGTCCAGTTCCTTCACATTCCTTCCTCCTTTCAACTCCTTTCAGAAATTAACCAAACCCTATACACCCTCCATAGGCATGTTTATTTGAACACAGAATTTAACAGGAAAGGAAAATTGTAACAACTGTACCAGGATTTGAACCTAGAACCACTTAAGTCTAGAGACTGAGAGGATTTTCAACAACTGAGCTTCTAGGTGGATCCACCTGCGATTGACCAAGTGCAGTTATATATGGTTGTTATAAAACCAAATCATTACAATCTAGTAATTTGTTATCATTTGTGATTCATCTTGAGTTTCTGGACATAAAATCATAACTCAGCGGTCAATCATTGAATGCAGAATTTGAAATATTCATAGATCTGTAAAGTTAAAGTAAGCAGCTAGTATTTCAAATTGTTTACGACTATTTGTGATATAAAAAGGAACTTGACACCTGTGTGACTTCAGCTTGCAGTTGAAACCATGCATGTCGACATTATTACGACAATGTAGTAATAGTAATATTATAATTGTTAATCACAGGTATGCCAGTACTACCCACCTTTAGCTTGTCTATATGACCATTCCTGTGGGATGATTCAAAGAAGGAATTAACCAATACACTATCCATGAGTAGTTGGTTCGCCATTTTGCTCGCTAATAATCCAGCTCTTTATAACTCTAACGGAACTCTAGAGTAAGAAATCTCCATGTGCACCTGAGCGTTAGTGTATTTGTGGGTTACTGCCCCACAGGTATGACTGTAGTAGTAAGGTACATACTCTGTGTACTAGTGTGTACACCGTTGTCACCCAACACTGCCGGATGTTTTCTTTCTACACTACATTCATGACTGACTGCCAGCGACCCAACACTACTCACACACAGGCCGTCTTCCTGTGTAACAAACAGCTATCTACCTGTGTAACAGTCATTAGCCACAGGTAAATCTACCTATAGGGTACCACCAGATAACTCTCTAGCTGCTGTTTACCATAGTACCGGTAAATCTACACCCGGCTACAGCATACACAAGGATGGGGTAGATATAGATCTACCCTGTAATTCACAAACTCCAACAAAACTGTTGATATTTTCCTATCTGTGTTGATCAGGGTAAGGCTTGGTTTTTCCTTCATGTGTGTCTTTTTATCCAACCTTTCACCACCATAAACACCACCACACAGGTGCCTGGTCACCCTACAATGGTATTAGGCTGGCTAAAGGTTTTACCTACGTTCGGCTACGTGTAAACCTGTTCTTACTCTATCCCATCAGGACTTACACCTGAGCATTGTCGAGGTGAAAGCTTTCAATAAGTTGTGATTAAACATAATAAATACCCTAGCTAATGGTAATACATTTGCAAACTTTTATGAAAACGCCCGAACTATGTTCTGAATAGCCTCAAGGTAAATAGCTTCTTTTAGAAAATCGTTACCATATCAATACAGCAGCAGGTCTGGTCGTGACATTCACTTTCAAATATCAAGTACAAAGACATTCTTGTGTGTACAAGTATTTAACTGATATAATACACAGATATATAGACAGAATATAGTCCTTTCCCTATGATTGCACATTGAGTTACTGTAAAGGCGAAAATTCTCGTCAGGGATTTCGTTCATTTTTTAATTTATTTAGCAAATTCTTGTAAACTGTAAACTTCAAAAATAATAATCTGCCCAATTATTTAAAAAAAATGATTTTATACTGTCATGCGGATTGGCCATATCAATTACAATGTTTGCAAGTAATAAGTCAACATGCACGACAATGTTTTAAACATGCGCACTTAATAATTCCATCTAAGTTGAAAATTATATCAATGCCCAAGAAAAAAAATGCCAATCTAAAAGTTTGCCCTCGACTCATTAAGACAACATGTCAACATATCTACTTTTTAAAATTAATAATACACGTCATTTCAGAACTTTAATTTTGTGGTGAACAAAACAAAATTCTTTCATAATGAATAATGACAGATTTGAATGATGAAATCACACTGAAATTCGTTTGTTTTTGATAGAATCCTTTTGATTTTAGTCATGACCTTGATCCTGTTTTGCATAATCATACACGTATAAAACTCAAGTAACAGAATATACCAGTTACAATAGAAAGAGTTACTAGGTAACATAAAACAGCCAGTAATGTTCACCTGCTCACCTAGATAGACCGTTGTGATGGATTTATGGAGATAAATGATTAATTACACAATACAACAATCTAATAATAATCCTAACCACAATATTAATATACATTAAAATCTGATTTACATAAATACATTAAACAACCTGTTATAAGGGAAATTAATGTACAGACAACAGAGCACTTGAGGGTGAATGCTAATTAATTGAGAAGAGTGAATTACATAACAGTAGAACAAGTGTTGGTGTCTTGGGCGGCCCAAAACACCTTCACTTCTCATTGATGTCACTAGTTTCCTGTTAAAAATGATTGTGTAAGACCTGGCTACAACGTCTTTGTTATACATGACAATGTGTGACCTACAAATATACTGTAAACATCTGTATATTTTTGCCAGCTTAAACTTCC